AAAATAAAATAATAAATATTAAAATTTTCTCTAGTTCGTTTTTTCCTTTGATAAAAAATACGAACTCCTTTTAAAGCTGATTGTGATTTTGTTAATGAATTAAGAAGATGTTCAAGTAATAAATTTGAACGACGTTCATCAATAAATTGTTGAATTGTTATAGTTGAACGTGAACATAATTCTTCTAAAATTCGATTCGATTTTTTCATAACACTTCGTTCCACATTTCCATTATTCTAAATATTTATATATATTATATGTATATATATATATATATATCTTAATTTTTGTTTTCTTAATTACCACTGTAAATAATTGTTTTAATTTATCTTCTAATAATTCTAAACGTTTTTCATCCAAATATATTACTAAAGCCAAAACAATATCAAGTAAATAAGTCCTTTAAATAAATAAATAAATAAATAATCAATATTTTATTAAATTCTATTTCATACAATGTTGTTTGATCAATTTCAGTATTTTGTATTTTTTCTAAAGATCTATCAAAAAATGTTTGACATAATGTATGATCAGTTATTGTTAAATAACGTTTTATTGTTTCATATACACTTTGTCGTACTGGATCACGTGAACGATTCCATTTTTCAGTTGTAAATAAATTAAATAAAAGTGGTAAATAATTTTTTGCATATTTTCCAATTTCTTGTCGATCAATTTCTAATTTAATAACAAGAAAAAATATGTTTTTTTTTTATTATATGAATTTATTAGATCAAATAAAATTTTTATTTTACCATTATCAGTTTTTGATATAAGATTTCTTAAACCAGCCAATAAATGTAATCTTAAATCTGGTCGTTTTGTTAATGATGTACCAATACCTTTTGCAATTAATTTAAAACTTGTTGAAATATCTGTTGCATATGAACAATAACCAGGAAATAATGACCAAATTTGATCTTGTAATGTAAATAATACTGTTGAATTTATTACATCACCTTTATCACGAAGATTCTCCGCTATAAAAAAAAAAGACACAATAATCATAAATTAAATCAATATTACGTAGAGGATATCTAAACTAGTGGCGAAAGTATTGTAATTTCTTATAAAAAGCTTAAAGAAACTTTCTCTTTTATATAGTCTCATAGTAAAAATCAATACTCTACATTTCTATGATATATGATCATTCTTCAATTGATATTATAATAATAAAATTTCAATCAATTTTGCAGAAAAATCGGGAAAATTTTTTTCGCTTTTTTTTCGATCGTGTAATCCAGAATTCTCTGCGGGTCTTGGTTGTATATATTTAGGTTTTTTTTTGTTTGAAAGAGCATGTCAAGATGTAGAGCATGACAGCGTTCTTTTTTTGAATTAAGTTATGTTACTATTGTATAGAAGAGTACTGTTATAATTAGAGCCCCATTTTTCGAGGCATTGTGTTTTTCTTCTCCTTAAAAGAAATAATTTAAGAAAAAAGGACTCTGTCATGCTCTCCATTCTGACATGCTCTTTCAAACAAAAAAAAAACAAATCAAGTATATGGAATGAACATCTACAGTGAATTTTGGGCTGCTAAATGAGTTATTTTTGATCCTTGTTTATTGAATATCTCCTGAAAACATCATCATATATGACTGAAAATTTTATTATCGCCTCTTCACTGCAGTCCTAACATATCCTGAAAACTTCATGCGATTTGAATGTATTTGATTCAAGATCGATTTTGGAATGTGGGTGGTCTTAAGTAAACTTCAGGATCTATCATTATGTGATTTTTTTGGTTATTCCACTTAATCAAACAAAAGCTAGACGATCAAAACGATTTCAAACCATTGTATCATGCTGTAAACAAGTTCATGAATTCTTTGAATAAAGAAGAGTATAAAAAAATGAATGCAACTAACTGCGAATAATCAGCACGATTATTTTGAAGATTTAATAAAGTAAAAATTTGTTTCTGTATTTCTTTTCTATTCTATCGCTACCACGTTTTTCAATATCGTAATGTATATAAACGACTAGGCATTAGAACAAAGAGAACATTCAGAAGATTGTTTTTACTATCCGATAATATAGAAAGTTTCTTTAAGCTTTTTATAAGAAATTAAAATATCTCGACCACTAGTTTTCGCATTCTTCGAAGTAAAACTAACCAGTTGTTTGTAATTGAAATGCAATTGGTAAAAAATAAGCAACAAAATGATTTAATTCCGTATGTGTTATATTATCACGTAATAATGGTAATAACCATGATTGTTCTAATTTAACATCATTTATTGTACCAGTTAAATTTAATGGAATAATTTGTAAAATATTTTTTGGTCCAAATACACGAATTGCTTTACCAACTGTTAAATCTAATTCAGCTAAAAATGAAAAATCTTTTGTTGAACGTAAACCAGATAGTGATGATAAACACTAAAGACAAACGAAAAATAATCAAAAGAAAAAAATTTTATTATGGTTTTTACATTTTGACAAAATTCAAAATAATCTTTTCCCATTAAATCAAACATATCACCAAGTAAATGAAGTATATAATTCCATGATAATGTATATGCATATGTTAAACCATGTTCAACTAATTGAAATAATTGTTTTAATAATGGATTTGTACGTAATGTATCAATTTGTGGTTTTAATATTGTTTTTATAATTGTCTAAATTTAATAAAACACTCTTTTTTATTTAAAAAAATAATAAAACAAAGGAAATATACTTTAAGAACATTTGTAGCTTTTGTATGTACTTGTTTATAAACAGAAAGAAGACATTCATTAATACATATTTCAAATAATTTTAAAATATAACTAAGACATGTTACAGAATCTGAACGATGAAAAGCACAATAAGCTCGACAAATACCATCTAACCATATGATCATTTGTTGTTGATCATTTTTAGCTGGTTGACGTTCCAATAATGTCTAACATAAAAATAAAACAGATTATTTTTTTTATCATTCAAATAATACAAAATGTCAAATTAAGTTACACAATGAATGATAACGGATAGTATAGATTAAATAGGACAAAATAGTTTTATTTTTATTCCTCTTAAAGTAGAATTTCAAATATTAATACTTACTCAATCATCAAAAAAAAAAAGTGATGCAAATTTTTTAATAACAATTTACTGAAATTTCAAATATGCTATAAAATTCTGCATGTTTTGATATTAGTTTCAGTATTTTAGAAGGGATTTTTGCGAGATAAATTTGAAAAATCTTTGACTGACAAGATAATGTGACCGATCTTTTTTATTCTGATACAATCTAATGGTTTTTACTCTTCAATTTAACAATCACACCAGTTTCTTCAGAATTAAATTCTACACATCTGATAACGTGTGAATGGCTATTTCATACATCAAATTTCGCTATCGAAAATATTTTTTCTGATATGTGTACAAAAATACTACTAGATTTTAGTTTCAAGGCTTTTTTTCATGAACAATAGTATCAAGAGCCTTAGAAAAGTCATAGAAGCAGAGACCATAAAATTCTATATCTATGGATACTAATTGCGTTATTTTTTGCATTCGTCTTGATGAGCAAAGACTTATACAAATTGATATATGTCTGCAGAAAATCAAAGATCACAGTTTGACAATTAAGTAGACGTTCATATTTTAAATTTTTCTTCAACCAGAAAAGCTTTTTTGATAAGTGAACGCAATAGTTCTCTATCGAATGACTACAAAAACGACTTTCTAAAGATGTAACAGAGTGATTCAAAACAAAGAAAATGATTTTATCCAATTTAATCTACACTGTTCGTTTCATTAAGTATGAATGATGAGGAAAATTTTGCTGAAATAAAAATTTTCAGATCCTTAGTCCAATGAATTGAGATTCGAAGGATGATTTTTTATAAAAAAAGATGTGACGATATCAGAAGATTTTACGACTTTTTAATCGTTTGATACTATAGTTAAAACAACACATATTACTCTTCAAACTTTTAAGGCAAAGCAGATATAAACAAGGTTAAGTATTCTTGGTTCAGGTTACTTGTACACCAAATAGTTGCGACTAGAAATACGCATTCTAATTCAAAGAAGTTTTCTCGCTTGAATTTCTGTATTATGAAATGCTAACGATATTTTTAGAAATTGAAGACAATTTCTCTACAATATCGAATTCTTCATTCTAATCCTTAATCAAATAGAAATTGTTCACTTTGTTATTCATCTCTTTTTATTAGAGATTTGTACGATAAACTTTTCCGTAGCGTACATTTTTCTCATCATAACTCTACACTGCAGAGCCAAGTAGACTCAGTTGATCTGTAAGTTCTACTGCACATTTCTCTTACCACGACCCTATCCTAAACACCTCTACTGTTTATTAAATATCTACTAAGAATCAAAATTCAAATATTTGCTTTTTGCTTATATTCCATTATATGGATAACTCTTGTCAGAAAATTTTATGTTGTTTTAACAAACAGTTAACTATGCAACAAACCTAAACGTTGTCAATGCATGTGCGATTAATAGAAATTTTAAATAACAAGCTATCGCAGTCAATTCTAATACATAAAGTTTAGTCAATTATAGAAAATGATTAAGTGATAACATATGTATTAACTTAGATATATGTGTATGGTTTTTCTTGTCTGTTTCAACAAAAAAACTGATCTATGTTTACTTGAATAACTCGTGCATTAACTTGAATCATTGATGCATTTGTTGCTGTTGTTCCTAAAGTTGTTTTTGAATATTGAGAAATTCGATCAATATCATGAGTTGTTTTTAATGGTTGTTGAATATCAATTGAAGATGTTTGTGACGTTGATAATGATGATAAAAGTTGAAGTTTTGCAGCATCTCGATGTTTCGTTCGGGATGGGTTTGATGAACTTGCTCCATGTTTTTTCCATTTTGGAATAAGGTTATTATTACTTTTATGTAAACGTACTCTCATAGTTTAATCTTCAAAATAAAAAAAAATTACAAAAGCAAATTTCACGAATAAAGAAAAAAAACATTACAAATAATAAAGATAAAAAAAAAGGACACACAAGAAATTATCATATAGTACTTTCAGCATCATAAAAAATGATACCATCATCACTATTATCATCATCATTATCATCTTGTATAGATTCATTTTCTGTTAATAATGTATTTCGATTAAGTCGTCGTCTCCAATGTGTTCCTTGCCAATAGACTTTTCCACATTTACGACATATATAAAATTCTTTATATGAACGATAATTTTTTAATGTTAAACCTGTTAGATCTAACGGAACATTTTCATTATATAATGTCATACGATCAATATCAATCATTTCTGATTTATAATTAATAAGATCAGGTTCAAGATCTTTTATTAAATAATTATTCATGTTACACCAAAGTATACGCATATCACGACCATCAACAATAGCAAAATCGCCACCATTACATAACTATGGAGAATAACAAATAATAATAAAATTTACAACAAAAAAAGAACTAAATAGAGATCTTACTGTACATCGACTAAATATATCTTCTGGTAATATTTTTACATTGAAATGTTTAAGAACAGCAGCACATTGTTGTTTAGCTGGAATATTTAATGGTGGTTGCCAACAACGACCTTCGACAGTGTGAGATCGTAACTAATCGAAAGAATATAATATGTTATTAGAAATACTATGGATATTTATTAGAAAACAATCAAAATCTTTCTAAATTGATATGTCAAATAAGAGATGATGTTTTACTATGAAATTATGGTTAAAATCATATCGAATTAATTTCGTTAAGAAATTTATTATATGCAAAATTTAAACTCAAAACTCGATTTTTAAGATAATGTGAAGGAAAACATGGCATTTTGTTGTAAAACAAAAATCATATAATTCAAGAAGAAAAATCTATAGGCACGAATCTTCTTAGGACTTCTTTCATCTCACAAGAGAGAAAATCTCCCAATATGATTCGTCAATCTAATTCGAAGTTATTACTATATTTTTATATTTGACAAGACATTTGTGAAAAAATCGAATTACAGAATTTCACCTATAAGTAAGTCTCGTAGACATTAGAATCTTTCCTCCTCGTCTATAGAGCCCATTTAATGAGATCAAACTTATCTCAAAAATGATTTATTACGACAAGATTTCTTCCTAAGCTTAAACAAAATAATAATTTATGTAAACTTACGAGATTATATGGAGCTCCACGTGATAAAATAATTCGATTCTCTGCTCGAGCATACTATCATAACAAATCAAAGAAATTTTTTTGAATTTAATTCTTTGTTTTTTTTTGCCTGTTTTACTTACTCTAATAGCATCTGTATGTGGATCATCATTACCTAAAATCACTGCATCACAACCGGCTACACGTAATTCTTTTCCTAAACCATATAACATATTATCAACAACAAATTTAATTTGAGAAGGACGTTTAATTTCATTTGAAATCTTTTAAATGAAAAATAAAAAAGATTTTAGTTTGTCTTCTTGTTTTTTTTTCTTATTACATACCTGACTAACATCGTCTAATGTTTGAGATTGATTAATATTATTATTATTATTAGGTGTATCTTGAAAATTTTCATCAATTTGACGAGCTATAGTTGAATCAAGTTTTTTTGGTTTTCTACCACGAAATGCTTTTAAATAATCAGATGATTGAAGATTATTCAAAAGAAATTTATAAATTTCAACCAAACAATATGCATCCGTTGCTTAAATAAACAAAACAAAAAAAAAAGAATCGAAATATAAAATCTCAATATTTATTTAATCAAGAATATTTTACCAGCATATAAAATTTGAGCATTTCTTAATGGTCGCCGTTCCCAATTTGAACATTGTTCAGATTTATTCAATGGTTTACCAAAACATAAACGAACAAATTCACTGAGACCTTTATCTTTTGATGAAACATTATTATTATTTATTGTAGCATATGGAAATATACCACGGTTAGCAGTAAGTAACTAAATAAAAAAAAGAAAATTAAACAACAACAATAACAAATAACTATGGAATTATTTACTTCATTTTGTACAAGAGATAAATCAAGTAAAGTTTTTCCTGAAAGAAGTGCTCGATCAAATATAGGATACGAAGCAACAAGCATAGCAGCATCAGTTTTAAAACCATAGCCTAGAAAAAAAATCAAGTTTTTTTTTTTGTTTATTATTTGTAAAATTTTAAATTTATTTTCAAGTAATAACTTACAAAGTAATGTTACATAATCATTATCAAATAATCGATTTGCTAAACGTTGTTGTATGCTTTCTGAATCACATGTATGAAAAAAATGAAGTAAATCAAGTAGAAATATTTCATTTGGTAATGCTATTTGCATAACACTTATACGTTGTTTTGATGTTGATGTATGATTAAAGAGTGGTTTCCATTCACCTGAAAATAAAATATGTTTAAGTTTAATGATGATTTTTAATATTTATCAAAGAAATTAACGAGAAATATTTGAATACAGTTTTGATTTTAGAAGAATCATTTGATCTTTTTTTTTTCAAATAAAACAAAAACAAAGACTAAATTCAATTATTTGTTATACAACGTACAATCAAATCCTATCAATATTTCTTCATTATTATTTTTAAATAATCGATCAAGTAAACGTTCATATGCCGGCATTGAATCAATAAAAATTATTTCATTATTTTCTAATGGAACATTATAATAATCAATAGTAGAATTTTCTTTCCTGATTTGTTGACATGGTGTTGCTTTTGATTCACTATTCTGTTTAATATGAATATATTTTTGAACCTTTCAAAAAAAAAACAATAACAATTATTTCTTATACAAAAAAATAAAAAGCAAATTGGTCGAACAAAATGCAACCAAAATTTACATACAGAATATTTTAGTTTGTATTTGAAATAGTCTTTATACTTTTATATTCATAAAAAAATTTTCTTTGCAATATTAACAGTACTTCTGTAGGTTAGCAATACCGCGGAGCACGCACACTTTTCTGTATGCTATGTCGATGAGAACAATAAATGAATAGGATGTCGTTGATCTTTAGAAGAATCACATCAAGTTGATTCGAGAAGAAACAAATAGATTTTGTAATAGTAAAGATATTTCTCATAGAATGTTTGAAAATAATATGAAGATGAATTCCAATAAATATGCATAATTTTAATTATAACGAACTATTGTTTCGAAGTAGTGGATTTTGCTGCTAAAGACTAGGCTCATTGTCAATCAGATAGATCAGTAATAATTACAAGCATATGTCCTAATTATAAAATACAAAGAACGTTTCAAGCTAATTAAAACTATCAAAAATTCATTTGTCTTCGGTTGGCTTTAATACAACACGAACTACTGATTAAGTTTACTGATCATGTAGACTATAATTCAAAATAGTAGTATGTTCAGGAAGGTTTTTTTCGATGACTTCCATGAGTACATGTTCCAATTTGGAGACCTTGTTTTCGCTGATAATTTTTGTAAAAAAATGTTTCTATTTTCATCAACAAATAACAGTGCTACGATCAAATTGTTCTGAAGTCCTTGAGCAACTCGGTCGGTTCCAGTAATTTAACTTTAACATCGCTATTTATTGATCAAAATAGAAAACCTTTATTTTTTTTTTCAAGAATGATCAATGCAACAAGCTCTATAAAATAGGATACGTCAAAAACGTCTGAAAGGATCCCTGTGAAGTGTCAGAAAAGTTGAATAAACTACTGAAGAAAAGTCCCAAATTATGACTTGCCAATCAAATTCATATTTTGCAAATTAGTAGGTCTTAATAAGGCTGATAAAAGTCTATAAGAGTTCGTCCCCATGCGTTGTTCTTCTCAAGTTATTATAATTTTACTGAATTTTTTTTATCTTTGGTAAGATATTTGTGAAAAAACGAATGATAGAATTCCACCCATTGGTAGGTCTCGTAGACCTTAGCATACTCTGAAAATTTCCCTCCAAAAGGACATGTTGCTCTTAAGATATAGAATGTTGACAACATTGAGCTTTTCTTTAAACATATCAACAAGATATTTCAATCAGCATATCTCGTTTTTTTTTTCTCTCCCGAATGATCATACATACCCAAGCTGGTAATGTATAATAAGGTCGATCTAATTGAGCCACTAAAAAATAGAAAAACAAAAACAAACAAATTCTATAAAAAAAAATACAACAATAATGTTTTTACTCCAATATTTTACAGCTGCAATATCATCTCTATCGGCTAATATTTCAATGAAATATTCTGATAAATCATCATTGCCTTGTACAATATCCTTAAATAATAAAATATTATAAAATTATATTTTCTTTTTGTTTATTTACTCCAACTAATTCATTCCAACATTCATCACTCATTGTTTTATCATCATTAATATTATTATATTTAACATTAATTAAATAACCTAATGTTCGTTTATTTTGTAATGTTGCTAAATTAGGATATCTTTCATTTTGTTCATTACCATATAAATTCCAATAACGTACAGCTAATTTTGATAAAGTTTTTTTATTAAATGTAATATTTTTCATATTATATTCATTATTTAAAATATCTTGAATTTTTTTTCCACCATTTTCATATAAATGATTTAATAAATTTATTAAATATTCTTCATATTGTAAATGATTATCTAAATATATATCAATAAGATGATCTTTTGAATTGAGTATTAATGGTAAAAGAATTTCATTTGGTTGAAATTCTAATTGATAATTTAATTTAACTATTATATTTAATGTACGTTTATATATATGTGAATTTGTTGGATATATTAATAATGATTTTAATAAATTAATTAAATAAGATTTTTCTATTTGAAATATTTCAATAAAATCTTCTATACATACAATTGGTAATGATTCCGAAATAAAATTATTAAGAATATTTTCATCTATAATTGATGTTGATAATGATTTATTAAATTGATTTTTCCATTGAAGAAATGAATGAACAAGAAAATTTATTAAATTTGTATCAGCATTATTATTATTATTATTTGAATTAATTAATTGCGAAAGATTCTCAAGTAAATCATCATATGGTTTAGATGATTGATTGAAATAATTGAATATTACATTAATTGCTTCATCTTCATTATAAAGTTGATATTTTTCTGATAGAGAAGTTAAAAATGAAGACATGATTTGTCACTTTGTAACAAAAAGAAAAAGAATATGTACTTATGAAAAAGTTGAATAAGAGTTGCGTAAGTTAGCAAAGTAAGAAAAACAAATTATTTTTACCATATATATTACTATTGAGTTTTTTTTTTAGTTCGAAAGAATATTTTTCATTTGTAATAATGATCTAGCAAATCAAACGATAGGCGTTTAAAAATAGATGACACCATATATCGAATAGATATGTACCGAACACAAATTTTATTTCGAAAACTATTCAATCAGTTTCTTTACGAAAGAACATATTCAATTGTTGAATATCGTTCGACTTCATATTATATGTAAGAGTAGATCTCGGTGAGACTAAGAAAAGTTCAAAAGGATTCGAGCCTATGGCTTACTATTGAAGAGTTCTGACTGTTTAAATGAAATTTTTACTAAGGGGAAAGCATTGCTGAAAAATTCCAAACAAAGGATTTCGAATTGAGATTATATCTGCAAGTACATTTGATAATCCTGATAGTTTCAATGAAAATGAAGATATTTTTCTCAAGATATTCAATATTTAAGTAGACTCGATTAGTGTGTTCTCATACTATAAATCGCTCTGTTTTTAGATATTGAGTATCTCGAGAAAGCTATGTTTGTTTTCATTGAAACTTTCACCACTATCAAACTTACCTATAGACATAGTTTCAAGTCGAAAATCTTTGTTTTGGATTTTCCCACAATAACTTTCTCTTATCAAAAGTTTCATTAACATGATCATAACTCTTCAATAGTAGGCGTCTGACAGTTGAATATATTCCCTTGTTCAATGATTGCTCAAGATTTTCTTAAGATTCGATCATTTTTGAATATTACTATTGTTATTGTAGGATACTTGCAGAAGTATTCCGAGCGGGGGGAAGTAACTCTCCAACCTTTGTGATCTCGGAACACACTCGGATAATTGAACAATGTCGAGTTACTTGTGTTGTGAGTAAAAAAAGTTCGTGAATTGACAAATTTTGTAATGAAGAGTAAATCTTAATTTTAATGAAGTATCTTTTTATTAGGAGATTTTAAACTTTATTAACAATCGTATTTCAATTTCAAATTAATCGAAATGATATTGTTGATATTAAACATCTATGAACATCAAAATAAATAATGACGATCGTGTAGTTTCGTTGAATCATGAGCATATTTTTCAGTACAATAAATAGACTAATTTGTAATTGTTTACGGACTACCGTGCCTCACACTAGATAAAATTTTTAGCCAAATTAACTACATTTTTAATTATAGTACGCGTAAGATTCAAAGAGTAGAACATTTTGTTTTCATAATGACTAACTTGTATTCATTTGTTTTGATACTAACAAAACAAAAATGGCATTAAAAAAGACAACTTGATATCGTTGTTACAAGTCTTAGTAGTTTCATTGCACAGGCTAAGCCCCATAAGCCATTGAATCAATATCAAAAAATAGATTTCGAAAGGTTCTGCAGGGATGTCATTTCCTTGCAGTTTCTTATTTGCATTGTTCTAATTAGTAAAGATCAATTTATTAACTACGTGTAGTACACTTCATTTTTATCCTATGAGTTTTGTTATCAGATAAAATGAAATTTCACAATACATTAAAAATTAACGAAACATTTCATAGAGATGGACGGTTAGAGACTAGTAGAGGTTAGTTTTAATATATGACTTAAATTTGAATTTATCATTCTAAAAATTAAAATCAATGACTATTCAATAAATTATAATCATTTCCATTCAATACGATCAATACGAGGAAGAAAAAAATAATTTTTTTAAAATTTATTTTCGACTAATGGTCCTTTTAATATCTTAATGCGGAATTTATTTTATAAATAGCTGATTTAAATAAATAAAATTATAATAATTCGATCTATATACATAAGAAAAAGAAAAAAAAAAAATTTTTCACCAAAAAATAATCAATTTATGCTGATGTTAAAACTCCATAACCAACAGTACTACCAACATCATTATTGCCATCGATTCGATTTGCATAATGTTGACTTTGTGGTTGACGTTTAGTCCATACTCGACCAGCATTTATTTCTGCATAGATTGTATCAACAGTTTTTGCTTTTGTTTCTGGTACAAAGAAGAATGTTAAAAGAAAAAATATCAATAGAAGTCCTGTAAATATAAGAAATGTATATTTATGCAATAAACCCTAGACAAAAAAAACAACATTTTTTAGCAAAAAAAAATTTTTTTTTTTTTAAATTTTACCGTAAAAAGAGGTTTAAAAGTAAGACCAACTATAAAATTAGCTGACCAATTAACAAGTACAGCAATACTTGTAGCTGGTACACAATATGTTTGATTAAATAATTCCGATGTAATTAACCATGGTATTGAACCAGGTCCAATTGCAAAAAATGCAATAAATAAAAAAGTCACTATAAGTGAAATATTGTTCCAAAATGTAGTTGATTGAACAATAAGTGATATAACAAGTATTAAACTTGTTATAAACATTCCACCAAGACCACTTAAATGAAGAATACGTCGACCAAGACGATCCATAAGAAAAACACTTATTAGTGTAAAAAATACACTCGTTGCACCTAAACCTAAATTTGCATATTCAGCTATATCTTTTTTATAACCAGCTGATTGAAATATAACAGTTGAATAATAAACAACAGCATTTATACCCGAGAATTGTTGAGATAATTGAAGAAATACTGTTATAAATAATGCCCAACGAACTGTTGGTGTTAGAAATAAATCAATCATTCTAGCCTAAATATAGAATTAAATCAAAAGAAACAAAACAAAACAAAACAATTATTTACAGAACGTTGTTGTTGATTTTGTTCATCTTGCATTTCGGATACTTCATAATGAACATTCGGATGTCTACGAAGCCATCGAAGTGCTAAAAAAGAAATAATACTTATTAAATAATCAAATTATTGTAACCTTAAAAAAAAAGTCGATAAAAAAAAGAAATCTCTTAGCATTATAGAGAAATAACTGAATACTCTTGTAATTGAACATAAAGCTTGCTGTGAGAGCAAGTAGTAATAGCTTTAAAAACTTTCCTATAATCCACATAGATTTTTCTTGTTTCGAAGCTTCTGTCTATTGCAGTTTTCACTATTCAACAATGAATATACATTTTGTTTTTTCGTAACATTTCGAAAAATTCATTCCATGACGTAAATCTTCATTTTTCATATGCTATCCTAATACTCGTATGATGGTGTGTCTTATTGAATCATATTTTTGGAAATTGAGGTTTGTGAGGAGTAAATTAGGAATCATTCTTCTGTTAAACATACGACTAATTGTGACTTTCCATTCCACGAATATATATCGATGACAATATTTACTGATGTATCAAATGAGTTTCACAAGTTTCCAAATAGTTTAGCAAATAAGAGATGCTAAATTATTGAATGCTTTCTGAAGCGACATTTTAGAAGTCGAAAAAAAATATTTATCATTGATAAAATGCTTTTATTGAATCAATAATTGCTTAGTGACTACAGACGTTTTTAAAAAAAGCTGTGTAGAGTAAAGGTGTTGTTTGAAAAAAGTTCATACTCTACGTATTTATGTAGTTATTTTATCAGTGACTCTTCTGAAATCATAATCAGAAGTAAAAGGTTAACAAATAATTGATTCCTTTATAATTTAAAAAAACATTAACAAAAAAAAATGTTGTTTCTTATCTAACATAGCTTAATCAATTCAGCCGATATCAGCTACTTCTGAAAGTAACAAAACAAAATAAAACTTATCAAGTACAATTAGTCTTAGACGATATCTATTTTGCAAGACAGGAGTAAGAGATAATAGCAGATAGCAAACGAAACTATCCTGTTTCTATTCTTGATTCTATTATATATTAAAGTCTTTGGAATGTTTTAAGATTTAGATTCTCACTAATGTTATCTTTCTCTATGTTTCAAACTTTTAATAAGATATAGATTTATTCATATGATGTTTATCTGATCTTTGATTGACTTTATCTTTCATATGTCTTCACTTTTAAGATGATTTTGATGGCTTTGAAAAGCCATAAAGTTAGTCTCTCTAACCTCCTGATCAATTGGATATCAATCAGATAGAACAATAAACTTTTATAATACATTGGAAAAACATCTGAAAAAAAAATGTTAAAAAGTCAGATAATGAAACTTTCAATAATTTGAATGAATTACAAATCATTCAAAGTTTACTAATGTCTTTCAATTTCATGAGTTCTCTATTTAGGAATGTGCAGTTTCAGCAAACTGTTCACTGACTACACTGAATCGATGTAATAGTTGATTTACTGTCAATATTCCAATATTTTTCACTAAATCTTGTAAATCCTTATTTCAACTCAAGTATTAGGTGTCAAGAGGTTATCAGTACTTCCATATTTATTTCTACTGATTACTCGAAATAAAATAAATATCCCCCGCACTGCATAATTCATCTGAACTCAATATATATTTATTTTTTTCTTAAACGCATTAAATTAATCAAGGTCATCTATTTTTATATTTCATTATTCATTTTGTTTTTGCATCAAGTGCATGATTTCTTTTATCACCTCTAGATTTAACTCCTTAATACTAAAATCCTTGTTGCCAAAATATTGACGTTTAGCTTTTAAATCGATGTATATATATACACGCATGCGAAAGATCAATTATATCAATCACTACAACATATATCTTACTAAAAAAAACAAAAAAACAAAAAAAAAACATGCACTCAACGTCAATCTCTCTTTTGGCTTTTGGTCTTTTGGTCACTGTTGCTATGGCACGACCATGGTCAGGTCATTCTCATGGACATACAGGGGATGGAACATCTCAAGGATCTAATGGGCACAGATGGGTTAAATATCCTTCACCAAGACATATTTATTTACCACGACATCTAGCTGAAAAATTAGAACGTCCATGGCCAGCATTTACAGCTAAAAAAATCGCCAATGGAAAATATATGGTCATTGGTCCAGCTTTTATTTTCAAAGTAAAAGCTACTGATGATATAAGTACAACTAGTGTTCCAGAAATTTCAACAACTGAACAACCTGAAGTTGAAGAAACAACAACAGAATCCATTGTTGAAGAATCTACACCAGAACCAGAAGAAACTACATCAGAACCTGAACCAGAAGAAACTACATCAGAACCCGAACCAGAAGAAACTACACAAGGAGTACCATCTTTTTTCAAAAAAGGATCGTATTCAATCAATAATGATGAACAATTATATTTTTTTCAATGATTAATGAAATCATTTAAAAAACAGAAAAAATCAAAAATATAATCAAGCTATCTTGTATTTGTTTTTCTTGATTAAAAATAAAACTAACCTTTTTCGGCATCAATTAAATTATTTTTTTTAATTAGTAAATATTTTGGACTTTCTGGTACAAAGAAAAGTAATATTACTTGCATAATACTAAACACAATTGGTAAACCTTATTAAAAAAATAAAAGAAAAATTATTTCATGATAATTTTATTTTATTTTATTTTTTTGACTTTTTACCTAAAGCATAATGCCATTTATCTTCAGAACCTAATACCGCATGTAAACTAATTGCTTGTGAAACACAAAGCATAGCAACAATTCCCAATTGGAATGAACTACCTAATGTACCACGTAAATTTCTTGGTGATATTTCATTTATATAAGTTGGTGCAACCGATGTACCATAACCTTAATTAAAATTATAAATCAAATAATTTATAAAAATAAAAATTATTTTTACCACAAGCAAGTCCAATTAAAAATCGTCCAATAATTAAAAGTTCATAGGAATAAACAGGTTTTGAAAGAAACATTAATATGCATGCAATTGAAGATATTATATTATTTAAATACATTCCACCTTTTCTATATATGTAATAAAATATATTAAAGATCTTATTTAAATTTTGATTCTTTACCGTCCTAATCGATTAGTAATAAAACCACCAAATAGTCCACCGACCATTCCACCCACAGCAAAGATAGATACAGCTAAAGAACTAATGAAAAAAAAAACTTTATTTAAATAGAAGAAAAAAAAAAGGGACAAATTACAAGATTAATGTTATAATTGATTGACTCATATTTGCAGTTTTCTCTCGTCTATAGTTTGTTTCATTAATAAAGGCTTCTATCACCTATAAACTATTCTATTAAAAAACAAAAAACCAAAGTAATAAATTACTTACATCTTGTGGGGCATTTCTATTCATATTGACAAAAAAATCAAACATTCAAAAACAAATCATTTCAAATTAAATAAACTTACAAAACACCAGATGCATAACCAAAATGAAAAGAGGTTCCGCTAATAGCCGCAATGACGGATAATAATAATGTATTGGTTATACCCTATAAAAATCATCAAGATAAAATATATATTTGATTTTTTTATTTATGTAATATAAAAATACTGTATGATGATTTTGTCGATTTTCTAAAGGAGGATTATCATTGTCATTGAGAATATTCGATGCACTTAATGGATCATTTCTATCATCGTTAGTTTTAATTGATGTTTCTTGATTGTCGCTATCAAGTAAATTTGTTAAAGGTGGATCATTATTCATGATATTTTATTCTAAAAATAATAAATTAATTTTATTTTCAATTCTTTTTTTATTGATAGATTTTTTATGAAATAAAATTATTAATTGATTTCTTATAATTTATAATTAATAAGAATGATCACTTTGATCTGAAAGAAATGCACTTATACGAGAAGACTCAGTTCAACATAAAGAGAAATCTATCTAGATAAAATATTTAAAAGACGCAAAAGCATCAAGAAGCCTACCACATAGATATGTACTTTTATTATACAACAGAATTCACTGATAATTATTAGAAACGGAAGATTGAATGCACTCACGCATAAAAAATCGAACATACAGTTAGTATAACGAGTAAACAAATTTTTTCTTTAGGAAAATTCAAAGATAATAACTTAACATTTAGTGTCTATAGAATAGACGAATATATGCACAAGAATATTCTCATAGTAACAAAAGAAAAGAAAAGTAAACTGTTCTAAGTAGACGTTCATAGTATATAACTATAGACTTTGTCAGGGATGTTCCTTAGAAAATTTTCGTTTTTCTTCAACGAAATTGAATGATTTTCTTCGTTTTTTGCTCACCAATCATCGAAATAAGAGTCAATCCCCCTATCTTTATAATAGTTGACCCGTCTCTCAACATTGATGATCTCGAAATACCCTATATTTTGTACTCAAACAGTTAGAAAGGGTTGCAGATATCTTAGTCTTACAAAGCTCAACGTTCCATGAGTAGTTTTAAATTTTTATTTTCTCAGTCGACATAAAATGACCAGCGAAAGTTTCTCTATTAAATTCTGTTGTTGTTTTTCGACCTCACTTATTCTTATCTGTAATAAATTCAAGGTGAACAAATAAAAAAAAGAAATGATATTACAATAATGCACAAAATGAAATTATATTTGCCTGATTAATTATCTTTTAATGTAATGTAACGAAAAAAAAAAGCCAACAAACACAATTTTCTATAAAATAGTTCATTCTTGACGATTTACGATTTTCAAAAATATTCAATCCGATAAACATCGTTGAATATTTTCATTAAAAACAAAGAAAAAAGACATGATAACAACATAAATGCAACAAATACACAATAAAGTTTCATTACAAAATACAAAAAACAAAATGCGAAAAGTAACAATATGATACGCTAGAATAAAAAAATGCGAAGATATACAGTACTGGACAAATATTATCAAAAAAAAGATATTTTTAATTTTGTTGTTTCTTCTAATTATTCGTTCGAGCTGAAACTTTCAGAATATTATAAGGATCATGAGAGCTATTGTTGAGAAGAATTTCAGGCTGAAAATTCAATACAATGATTATAACTCAAGAAGAAAGGTCTAACAGCATGAATTCTTTCAAGATTTTCATCTACACTATGAGCAAAATATGCGTTCAAATGGAGATTGTTAGTCAGATGACTTTTTCAGAAATTACTTTTTTTTTAATAGTGCCATGTTAAAGAATTTAAAATTCTAAACAAAATGAGCGATTGTCGCGTTTTCTTCGATGATCTCTAAACTGGTTACAGACATTACAAAACACGAAAACATGTGAAATTTATCAAAAGAAAAAACAGACAAAGAACCCATTTGTTTTTTTGTTATCTTTTTTTGGTGTTTTTAATTTTTTCGGGGAAGACCATCAGAAACAAAACCACAACCATTCATTTTCTTCAGAATTTTGCACTTTGTAAAAGATAAAGCTATTTAAAAAAATAATTTCTAAAAAAGTCGCCCGAGTACTCAAAAATAGCCGTTTTTTGTTTTTCTAGAAACCTTCCCTTCATTGTCTGTCTATGAAATCTTGAAATAGAATGGTCTATTTTAAATTTAAGCTAGAACAAAAATATCTTGTTTCTTTAATTTTATCCAATATTACATATACATATATATATAATATAGAAATCTATATACAAAAACAAAAACCAAATTCTCTCCTCATCAGATCTGAGATAATAACAAGAGGTGGTAACATAATAAACGCTGATGACTAGGTATATCAAAAATTGAAAAATACATTTTTGTTAAATTATTTTTGATGTTTTGCTTTGTAAACAGTTCCTTTGGCAACAAGAAGTTGCACACGTTCAGGTGTTTTTCGTCGTGTTTCAGGTACGGATATAAAAGCAAGTAACCAAAAAGCACAACTCATTATACCATAAACGAGAAATAAAAATGCACCCACCGCATGCTTTAAGATAAAAAAAGACAAATCAAAATTAATATCTTATTTCTCGAAAGAAAGAAAAAAAAAGCTTATTTTACTTACAAAAAGTGGAACAAATGTCATGATTATGCAAAACATTGATAACCAATTAACTATAATAGCAATAGCTGACGCATAGGCACGTTCGGATTGAAAAAACATTTCTGCTGATAACATCCATGGTATAGCAACTAATCATAACAAAAAAAAAGAATTATTTAATAACAAAAACAAAAAAAAGAAAAATATATACCTGGACCCATAGCACAAAAACTGACATGTGTCATCATAGCAAATATTTCCAAAAAAATCATATGATACAAAGGAATCTATAATTAAATATATATTTTTGATAAATACAAAAAAACAAAGTACTCTTAATGACAACTACATTAGTTAATTGTTTCAAACAGCTATCTTTATTAAGACTAGTACTAGAAAACATGAAAAGTGGAAGTCGACATAATGAACATACAGACGATAAACAGGAGGAAATTTCAGCACGAGAACGTTCAGCACGCAAAAAAAAAGATAAATATGACGTCTATTGAAGGATCCATGGATGAATAGTGGCGGACAAAAGTTTACAGCAGTTGTTTTTTTTTTACGTTTTCTAGTGGATGGTAATAGTTAGTAAGAATCTGAAAAAATATTTGTGTCCAAAAACCAGCCGTCTGGCTACCATTCGAAGATTTTATTTGATAGAGCAACTGATTCTGAGCAAGCTGAGATGTCTCCAACCTCTCTGTAACCTTCCTTCATCGAACTGTATTTAATCTATACGAGATTTCAAAGCGTCAAACATGGCAAAAAAAAATGAAATTTTCAATAAGAGAAAAAATGCTTTTTATGCATTCTTTAAATTGTCCACATCTCTACGCACACCTTTTACTATCACTTGTTTTTACATTATTAAGTTTTCGGTACTGATCATTTCCGCGTTTATCGTTAACCAATCTATGAAAAGTATGTTCTTTAGTCTTTTCAATAATCTGCTGATTTATGAAATATTGTAGGAAAATAATCAAGAATGAATATAGAACATTCCTGATTAATTTTCAAAATGTTAAGATTTCACTTCTGAAGTTTTTTTTCTATAATGTTAAGTAATTAACTCAAATCTAGATAGTAATTTTAATAGCCAATGGAGCTTTCTATCTAATGAATTCTATATCAAAATTTCTAAAAAAAATCGGACACAATAGTTTTCAGATCACGAAAGACTTTGTCGGAACTATTTAATAATACCATTTTACAGAGCACAAAATGAAGGATTACCGTATTTTCTACAAACTTTTCTTAAAAAGTTAAGAGGATTGTAAAAACCAAAATTTATCAAAAAACAAACCCCTTTTTTTTCTAATTTCTGTGATACCTTTAACTTTTTAAGGAAAACTCGTAAAAAATGCGGCGATCTCTCATTGTTTTCTCTTCAAAAATGGCAATGTTAAAGAATATCTCCGACAAAGTTTTCTGGGATTTGAAAACTCCGTTGCATATGAAAATCACTATCTAGATTTGAACTAGGTGCTTAACTTTATAGAAAAAAACCAAAAATACGTTGTTATGAAACTTTTTTTTGCATCGCCTTACATTCGAATTTTATCATGATTTTAATTGACATTTGAAACTTACATCTCTCGATTTAAGAATTGTTATACCAATAACACATGATGCTCCTGCCATACCAATTAAACCATCTATAATTAAATAAAAATTGAATAGGTTTTCTAATCTTTTTTTTTTTTGTTCTAATGACTTACAAAGATAAAGTGATCGACGTCCAACTTTATCAAGAATAAAAACTAATGATATAGCTACAGCTACATATGTAATACCACATGAAAGCATAGCATATGATGCATATTCTATTTTTAATTGTGCACGAGAAAGAATAATATCTCCAAAGAAAAAGATCTATTTAAAAAAATAAAAAACAATAAATTCTATTTTCGAAATCTATTCTATAAACTAAAAGAAAAAATAACATACAACAAAACTTCCAGTAAAATGTTGAGCAACATGTGTCATGGCTAATATAAGAAGACATTTACGAAGAAGAGGTTTTGACCATAAATCACGAATTGAAATCTAATTTACAAAAGAGAAAATATTTAATATTTCTAGGGTTTTTTTATTATTATTACTTTTATTGAATTTGTTTCAATATTATGAAAATCTGCTTCCATTTCATGAATTTCCGCTTGAACATCATCAAGATTTTTTTCTCGACGAAACCATTTTAGAGCTAAATAAAAAATTATTTTTTCTTTTGTTTCTTATGAAATAAATAATCAAATAAATCAAAAATAAAACCTCGTGCAGCTGCTCGTCGACGTTTTTTTTTTAAAAGAAATTTTGGTGTTTCATGTGTAAATATTAATAAAGTACATTGAAGTATACTGAAGATAATGGGTACAGCTATTTGTATATAACAAAGTAAAGAATAAAAACACAAAAAAATAGAAAGAAAAGAACAAACCAAAAAGATAATTCCATAGATGTGGACGGCCTAAGATAATATCTAATCCAAGTACTTGAGCTAACAATACAGCAAAAGCTACAAATAATTGAAAACAGGCACCGAATGAACCACGTACACGTAATGGAGCAATTTCATTTATATAAATAGGTCCCACTGTTGTTCCGAAACCTTTTATTTTGCAAAAACAAAAAAGAAATATTTTTTCAAATGAAACAACCGCAATTAACCAACCTGCAGAAAATCCAATTAAAATCCGTCCTACTATAAATGCTTCAAATGAAGCTATATATTTACTAATCACCATTAAAACCGAACCAATTATAGCTGGAATATTATTTAGAAGTAAACCAGTTTTTCTAAAAATTAAAGAAAAGTTTAAAAATCTGTTGAACTAATAATGCTGAATTCATGAGTATGTACAACAAAATAAAAAATAACTGATGAGTAAATTCCTAAGCGACGCTTCTTGTCTTTTCTATTTCGTTTTAATTTCTGGAGAATGACGAACGACAAGCTTTCATGCACAATGTTTCTTTAATAGAGATGTACGGGACCAAGTTTTTGATTCCAGTTTCGGTAAATCTTATCTAACGCATGGGCCGAACGTTTTGAGAGAAAATATTTGTTTACTTTTTTTAGATCCTTTGAAAGTGTTTCCAACGAGTCAAAAGCTATGGATTACGACCAGCATGTTGTGCACTTTCCAAATATGGCCTTAAAAATTTTATGTCAGTTTTTGTTCGAAAGTAGTGAGGACTTTTTTTAAAACACTAGAAAATTAGATTGAATTGTGAAGCAATAGGCTTGTACTAAACTTTATAAGTTTTCTTTCGAATGTGCCAAAAATTATTGAAATCGGTCGTTTTGTCGAGTGAACACTTCTTTACAAAAAAATGTCATATTGAACTAAGCTGTAGCTTTTACCTAAGTGGAACTATAGACACTCTGCCCAGAACTCTTTTTGCTATACAAAATGCGTTTTGGTCAAAAAGTCGATCTTTTGAAAAATAACGATTTAAGAGAAATGGAAATTGCCTTGATCTATAGAAAGACTCCAACAGTACATGTTAAAGAGTGGTTTCCGCTCTACGAGCTGATATATTACAAAATCTTTCAACATTTATTTTCGAGTTGCAATAGTGAAAATACGAAAGTGCACGGAAAAATTTTTTGCCCAAACTATTTTTTGGACGATTCAAAAGATTATCTCGCTGGTCTTAAGAAAACTTCTCAATCTACATTCGGAAAGAGCACAAAGTTCTAATCATAGTCCATAGCTTTTGAATTTCTCTGAAACACTTTCAAAACACTCAAGAATAAACAAACATTTTGTCTCAAAACTTTCGACCTATCCATTAGTCCCAATCCTGATGATTTAAGTTTTTCGGCTCAGGATCTAGAGAAAACTATTCCAGAATTTATTCGTATTACATCTAAAAAAATTCTTCGATACTCGTTTAGTCAACGACTAGCATATTGTTTGGATCATATCTCTTGAATTACATTCTGATTGATATAATTTATAAGATGAATCGCTTAAAACCATAGAATACTTAACTATAATCTTTGGTTCCGATTAGGACAACTTTTTTTTCTACTAGTTTCGGTCCCACACATCTCTACTCTATAAACATATGTCAAACTCGTCTAATTTAATCTGCTGTTAAAATTTACTTGAATAGAAAATATAAAATTTTCTCCACTATGGGTAGTTCTATAAAATATATGTCACCATCGATACTGTTTCTTATTCTAGACAAAGGTGCTATGCACAATATTCTATAAAATGGAATATGAGAAAGTCATTCTATACTGTTCTCTGAATGAAAACAGTTAAATACCAGTATCATATTAAAAATTATTCGCAAAAAAATATTTCAATGATTGATAGACATGTTTTTGTCTTATTACATGAAAGCTATTAACGAAATTCCTGTACGATTCAAAATGTGAAATACGATGGAATTGCTTACAGTTTTAGTAGCATATCGATTCGTCTTTGCGGTATGAAACATATCAATATAATGCGTTTTCGATAGTACTTTTAACATATTACAATGTCTCATTACAGATTTCTTAAAAAAGTAAGAAACATGGCTAATTCATTTTTTTTTCAATCATATTTTACAATAATCTCCTAAAATATTTTTTATATTTGTCATAGTCTATGAAAATTCGAATTCTTCGAAACTAAAATATCAATTAACTTACCGACCAAATCGATCAGTTAATGGCAAAGCTGCAAGACCACCCAAAACTCCTCCAAGTGCAACAACTGATATAGCTGTTGCGTATAAAATATCTTGATTATATGCACTTATTGTTGAATTGTAACGCTTTACAGAAACTTCATTTATATAATTCTTAATTAACTATAAAAAATAGAAAATATGAATTATTAACAAAGAATATCTTTTTCTTTGAATCATCTTTACTTCTGATGGAGCATTCATAACACCAAGTGCATAACCAAATTGAGCACCTGTACCAATCATAGCAGCAAACATAGCTAATAATAATGTTCGAGTAAAGCCAAGATTTTTTGATTTTAGATTAATTGGTTGAACAATTTCAATAGTTGATCCATTTAAATCATCATTTTGTTTATTTTGATTTTCCAATTTTTCTTCTTTTATTTCTTCTTCAACCTTTTCTGATGAATCGGATTCATCATTTTCTGATAATTCTTCATCTTTTATTTTTTCTTCATCTATTTCATCAATATTTTTTTTTTCATCATTCTTATTAACATTCTCTTTATCAGTATTCTTCGATGAATCAAATAAACGTTCACGATCATTAGATGCATCTTTTTCTTTATCTTTACGAATTTCGTCTTTCGACATTTTCTCGTTTTTCAAAATCTTGAAAAAGACAAAACAAAATTTTACTTATGAATAAAATATAAACTAACATTCTCACTTTATAACCAATTAGAATAATGTATTTTCACTTGATAAAATAATACATTTGAATTGAACAATGATTAAAACTAAAGAAAAACCAAAACAAGAATGAGACAAACTATTGGATACATTGGACTATTATCAATAATGGTATCATTGGGAATGTTTCAATTAACCATAACCAATGGAATTCATCCCAAGAGGACGCTATGAATCAGTACATATATTATTATTCAATGACATTTTTACAGAGATATTCCGAGTAGGAGGACGTCAGGAGAAATAAACTTCTATCTTGAAAAAATTTATCGTTTTTATCCAGAAGAGTTCCAGCCTTTTATTGTCTCTTTTTATTCACTAATTCTCAAAAAAATCGATCAAACTCGCTCCTCGAATATTTGGTCAACTTTAGCAGAAATCTTCTAATCGGTTCCTTGAGTAATCGAGTTTTCATCCCACAATTCTGGTAACTTCGAGATATCCTAGAATTTTTTTCTGAAATACATGAAAAAGATACAAGATCGCTTCTTTTATGTAGCTAGTATTACATGAAAAGTTCTATCCAAAATGATGTCAGATGAATATGCTCTAGATGTGCGCTTTCGAATAGTTTATTCAATAAATGAAAAAAATGGTTTTGGCTATTTATTCTTTTTTTCTAGGATAGGTCTTTGGATAGATGATTTTAATTAGATATATTTGCAAGAGAGAAACAGCTGATTTTTATCGTTAATCAGTTTCAAATAAAAAGACTTATTAACGCTTTAACTGTTAATTTGTTTTTATTATGGAAATTAAACAGTAAAAGTTTAAAAAGGAGAACTGTCGATAAGGCTATTCTTTCGTCCAAAATACTTTTGAAAAAGAATTACATATTCTGAATCATCCTGAAATTCTGAGTAAGAATAAGATGTCTTTTTTTCTATTGAGAGTCGACTTTCAATTTTCACCCGTAGTTTCGTACCTATAGGAGACTCTAAAACCATCAAAAATTGTTTTTCTCCGATTTGTTTTGATTCACACAACATCAAATGCAGAATTTGATGCTGATTATAAATTTCTGATTGAAATTCGAAAAAAATGGAGTTCTCATGGAGAAAAGCTTAATTTACTATAGGATACTAATAGAGTACTATACCCAGCTACCATCCTTAGGGAACCTAATAATGATATTGAAAAGCCTAAAATACACTCAGTTATGTTCCAATTCACCTTTCCAATCAGAAGCATGTTAAAAAATGCTGTTTATTTTTGGACAATTTGACCTTATACACTACAGGATGATAAAATCTCTAATCAATGAGTGATCTATATATAGATCGATGCAGTTTTTCATGTTCATTCTGAATACGACTTGAAAAATGAGAAAAGCAAATGAAGAACATGGTCAAACACAAGAAATACTGACGTGAGATCAGATTTCATAAACGATACTCTCTGTTGTTTGTCGTTTTTCTTTCCGTCAGTAACACGGAACTCATCAACTTTCACATATTAGTTAGTAATTGATGTTACACTGATGTTGACAGAATTGTTGGCCGCTGTAAAAAGCAGTATTGGTCCCGGTCGACATGTAAAGCCCATTCTGTGTTCGACTGGATGTCTTTTTTTGGTTTTTTTAAAATTTTTTATATTATTCAGCATCTTAAAGTGTTGCGATAAATAATAACTGATATGTACAAGAACAATAATATATAAATTAATTGGTGAATAAATCCATGTCGAACTAGTCGCGATGGAAGTAGTAGGAAAAATGTGAAAAGTTGGTGATAAGGCAAAAGTCGATAAGCATAGAGAAAGATAAAGCTGTTAAACTATATGATATAGTATATTTGAGTCGTGTTCGTCTTCGTCAGTTGTTTCTGCATCTGAAACATCAGAATAATCTACAGCATCAATTAATGAGATGTAGTATTTGGATGATCGAGATTGTAGTTGTTGTGAATTATACCTAGCAAAAGCTAGATAATACATAACTGAAGTTATGTGAGTGCAACAACCAACTACATGACTCTCGTTTGGGTATTTGGAATATCATCTCATAACCTTTCTTGTATTATATGATATGATATGTACAAGTCGTATTTCACAGCAGTCCTGTGACGAGATTGTATTTATGCTCGTAAAAGATCCCGCCTTTTAATTTGTTACTTTTACGAGATATGCTACATCCTCTGATAAATGTTCTATAGTGTAGGAACGAACTTGTTTTAACTGGTATATTCCCCGTGTCAACTCTTGTAATTCATCAAAAAATTCATTTTTGAAAGATCATCAACACTGTTGGTGGCGTTTCAATTGATCTTTTTCGATTGTTTTCCATTTTTATCTTTAAGTTTTTCGATATATTCCTTTATTCTATTCATCTCACCAGCCAATTATAGAGTTTTTTTGGCAATTTCTTTATTTTTGCTAGCATCTTTAACAAATACTGATCGATAACAGTTTATCAGCGCACATACAATTTTGAAATAGTTTTCTATTTTCTTTATCGATGTATAAGTTTTTCTTTGACTCCTGGAAAGATGAGAGATTTGAATCGGACTCTCGCTTCATACTAATTATGAGCGTACTGAAGCAGCCTATAATAGTCACATCGACCGTTTTCATGCTTAATTTACGAGTTTGATTCCATGGTAGAGCCAGAGGATGCTTAGGGTCTCTTAGCGAGATTTTGGAAAATGTGCTTTTTTCTTCGAAAATCTCATAAGAGCGGGAAGAGTTGAGCCCTCCTTAGCTCATAATTCAGACTCCACCACTGATTTAATTGTCCTGTATAGATGACGTCACAAAATTACTTATCAGTCGAAAGATAAAACCTGTAAAAATTGGCTTTTTGAAGGGGGAGGGATGAAATCCATATTTTTTACGACAGACGAAGCCAAAATTAATAGAAAAAACTAATCGAAAATTGCTATAAAAAGAGTAAACGGTTTGAATCGGCGGTTCTGCTAAAACAACCAGTATTGAGTACACATCGAAGACAGATATGATTTGATGTTATCATCATATATTTATTATATCAAATAACTCTTATCGAAATTTTATTATTATCATATTAATGACAGAATCATGTAATAGAACTTTACTTTTACTATCAATTCATATAGATACAAAGTTTATGTAAGATTTTTATAAGAAATTACAGTGTCTTCATTACAACTTTCAGTATTCCCCAAATCATTTTTTCTAGATATGAATGATCGACAATATAAAGCAGTCGAACGAGATAATTTTACATGTAATTGTATAAAAACTGGTTATCAAGGGACATTTTGTCGTATAAATTTCTATATTTTTTTATTATTAATTAATAGAATTATATATATTATGAACAAGATTGTCATGATACAAATGATTCATGTCAAAATGGTAGATCATCTATAGATAATCAATGTTTATATAATTTATTAATAAAAGGTGATTTTTGTGAAATAATCATAGATAGAAATTCAGTAAATAGTCAAATACAAAAAAGAAAATAGTCCTTTAAAAATTTGGTTAATTATTGATTTATGCATTGTTAGTATTATAATTATTGCTAGTTTAATATATAGTCATAAAAAATTATTTATGTTACAAGAACAACGAACAAATTCAATTAATACTGAACTTAATTATAAATCTAATGGAAAATAAAATAATGAACATGAATTTATTAGTGTAACATTAAGTCAAACTTCATAAAATACAAGATATATATACTCAAAAATAATTATTTATTAATAAGAAAAAAATTTAAAAAAATAAATCAATAAATAAGTTTATTCTAGATTATAATAAAAAAAAACAAAAATCAAATTAATTCGTTGAATTTAAATAATTTGCAATTTGATTATAAATGAATTGTATTGATATAGATGATGATTGAATTTGAGCATAGTTTACACGTTGATCTTAATTTATAACAAGATTTGTAATAGTTATTGATACTTTTATATCTATTGTAAATTGTTCAGTTGACATTTGATAACGAACATCACGAGTTTCAGAACGTTGTCAATAAAAATATGATATCATATAAATAATATTTATCTTTACCACAATTAAATGTAATAAGAATAGAATCAGATTGATATTTTTTTTTCTAATATTTCTGAATGAATTAATACACATACTGAACTTTTATTGACAATTTCAATTGAATGTGAACTACCTTCTAATCACTATTGAGATTGGGCATGTTTTGACGTAAATAGAAAACTATTAACTAATGGATGATTAAGCTCAACTACTTGTATATCATCTGCTGTTGATTATTCATTATATTTAACATAAATCAGAAAATGCCACTTGAAGAATATTTTCTACTACTCAATCAATGATAACAATATGACGACCAATGTCTACTTGTTGTCATATCCATTTTGGCTGCTTCAATAGGAAATGTTGACGTATAATTTATATAAACTGTTTGATTGTTATGAAATGGATAAGTTAATATATGGTTTTAATTAAAAGTTATATATTTGATATTTAAACTATCGAACACATGATTAAATATTATTATATGTATCTGATACAATAATAATTGCTTCAATAGACATATGTTGAATAGCTTTTTGATTATGAGAAGGCGGATTAGTTGATACATTAAATAATTGAATTGATAAAGTTGATGTTGAATGAAAATAACGAATACAATGATTTGAATCAAATTAATGACGACATTCATTACTATATTTACAAGTTTGTTGAACAAATTTTGTTTAATTTGTATTATTAATTATTTCTAATTTTACATTTAAGTAGACAAAATATGTAAATTTATGTAATTCATAATAATTTTTGTTTACTTACTATGAATTTTTTGATAGAATTTTTAAAAAAATGTTCTATCGATCGAACTATACATTGATTTTTATATTTACATGGTATAAGAAAATCAGATAGATCTTCATGTCTATAAATACGATAATGTTCTAGATTTGTTTAATTTATTGCATTCTTTACTATATTTACATGCAATTGTATGATGTACAGTATGTGTAAATTGATTTGCATGTTCATTATTTCTATCTCAATCATGATAAAGTTCTGACCAACGATAAGGATGTGAATATTTTTCATTATATTCTGCTGGATTTTTATAGTGCAAAGGACAATTATGACCATATTTACAAGAATTTAATTGTTTAAAATTGGTTAAACTATTTATATTAAATACATAAAGTATGCAGTTAAATGTATTACCTCTATCATATCAATAGGCCTTGAACTATGAAATAGCTTAGAATTTATGTCTTTTGTAATATTCTTCAGTATTGTCAAATTAATATACAATAGCTCCATCACTTTCGCTTCTTTTTTGTGTGTTATGAACTGTTTTCTTGTGAAATATGATTTAAAAGGAGTGTTAAAGTATAGGAATAAAAATTTAGACTTCTCTTTCTCCACTCCGCGGAAGGTGACAACCGCTAGTCAGAGACTATTACAGATATCTTAGCAACACTTCTTCTTCCTTCTCCATATCACAGACTAGAGAACTCAATCGACTGAGATTTTAATAAAAAACAAAAATTTTCAAAAGATATTGTGTTTTTCAACTCAATTTTCGTTTTTTTGAAAATCCCATGTAATTCTTCCATTAGCTAAAATAGTTCTGCAATGAACAATAAAAGATAATATTATCATCACCCTGAAAAACTTTCTTTATATTCAACAAAATGTTTTTGTTTAGCTCTCCTAGTTCATCACTAATTACAACATCATAATCAATTACTTTTTCTAATTCTAATTCTATTCCTAACTGAACCTTCTTAATCATCAATATCTGTTAACACTTTTTGCAAGTACTAGTATTAGTTCATCATCATATACAAAGTAGTATACATCTGTATGGATCGAATTTGTTTTGAAATAAGTGTCATCGACATATGTTGTTATTAAAAATGAAAAAACAAACATAACTTTATCTTGAAAAGATTTTTGATTTTACAACTAAAAATTAAAAAAAATACTGTCAAATTCGAGAGAATTGAAGGTTTTGCAAATTATCAAAAACATTTTACCGAACATTTGCTTATACATCAATTACTTTACTCAAAATATGTTTGCTCAGTCATATGTTAATAATTTATTCAATACAATTAGATGAGTGATCTGTGGATAAGCCATATATTCCAAGAGAAAAAAAAATCACGAATCGATTTTCTTCATTTCGATCCGGTCCATTGAGACCTTTGTCACAGACTATGACAGATGTTGTTGATCTAAGAGCACAAATTAGCATTTCCTCGTAATATAAGAACTGCTTCCTTATTGTACTGAATGTGTTGCATCCTTGAAAATTATGTTGAAAATAAATATTTTATATGACGAAAATTCAAAAGAAAAAATAACAACTTACACTAACAATAATTTCTACCGTGTAAAATATGACTCAAGAAGAAGATGAAAAAGTTTTTTAAGATTATCAAATCTGTTTATGTGATAATCAAAAGTAGTCACGTTCCGTGTCAATAAAATCATAATGACAATAAGAGAATATTGAAATATTTTTCCATTAAAAAAATAGACTTTCATAATTGCTATTTATAATTAGGTAATTTTACTCAAAAATATTTGTTCAGGATTAATTTTTCTTTTATAAGCGATAAAAATAGAATACTACAATTTCCATCAGATCAATCGCCACACAAAAAGTACAAATTAAAAGTTTTTAGAGATATTAGAAATGTCAGAAATTTTAAAGCTTTCGTGGGTGTGCAATGTGAGTGTGACTGTTCCTACGTATACAGATGTGGACATGGAGAACACTAACACTAAACACTCATATTGAGATCCACATCCTCATACCCTTCTCTATGTTGTCTCTAATATGAACTATCCAACAATAACAATAACCAAGTAAACAAGTATAGATGTAGTATTAACAGAAGACAAGAAAATACTTAAGAAAGCGAGCAAATAGAAATAATCGAATGAGGTCTAAGTAATATACCCGTAACAGATCAGAATATTGAACTGATACGAAAAAACAAAAGTATAAGAATTTAGATTAGATTTGCAGAAAATACACATTATATCAATTTAGGGTGATTTATTTGTTGAAGATCACCAAAAAAAAAAGAAATAGATATAAATAGATGAAAATACAAGTCCTCTTTCAATTGCTTGATCATCTATAGGAATAATCAATTCAGCAATTGCCTTGTTGACGAACGTTTTCTTGATATTGACCTTGATAATTGCCTGGAGGTAAATATTGAGCAACAATGTAGACAGACTGGCCTCCATTAGTATAAGCAACACCTACACCAAGTCTTTTTGTATTTCTCCATACAAGTTGTGTAAAATGACCTGTAGACATTGAGAAGCCTCCATTATTGAAATCGTAGTCTTTAATTTCCTGATACCAAGCAATGGGTGCATTATATCCTACAATGTTAGAATAAACTTATATAATAAATATAACTGATGATTTCAAGATGACTTACCATTAATTTGCATACCACTTGCCCAGTACAAATTTTCACCGACACCTTGAGTTCCACTATGCTGAAATTGATTTGTGTCAGCAAGTTTTTGAGCAAATCTTTGAGCCGACCTATTAAGTTCATCATCAAGTGTAAGAGGTTGAGCACAGTAATAAGAACGATAGAAATTATGTGCATATAACATTTCATTTTGAAATTGACGTTGTTGTGAGGTGAAATCTTCGCGTTTGTTCAAGTGTCGAGGAAAATCTCCATTATCTCGACGAAACATATCGATTGATTGTAACAATTCATTCACGAGAGAATCATTATGACGAACTTTTGTATTCAACTTTAAATCATTTTCGTGATCAACTTGTTTCAATGGTATACCATTCGTAAACATAAATGTTAAGAAAATGATGAAGAATCCAATAAAGATATGTTTGTGCATGATTGTTTATCGTCGATTGAGTTATGTATATAATATTTCTTACTCAACGTTATCTGTTTATTTGATTGAATAATGTTAATTTAAAATAAATCTACAGCAATGCAACGATAATATTTATATATAGTCGAGCACCATGGTTGAGGAATAATCCAGATATATTAACAACAATGTATCATATCAATAATGTATACATACTAATTTTCCCATCTGATAAATGCTCTCTCAATGATGTAATTCACATTTTTTCCCTTTTGTTAAGTTGTAAACAATAATGACGTTTGGTTGACTTATTAATGAATGTGCACGACACTCTTCGATTTTCCCTTTCAAATGTGCCTAATCGATGAAATACATCTATCTTACCTTGCTACTATCTGTTCTTTATGCGAGTGATTCATATTTCAATTGTCAGATTTTAAAAAAAAAATACCCACCATCATTTTGTAAATAATTTGTGATTGTTTATAGTTATCGAGCTCGAGTTTTCGTCATTGAAGAGAGCAAATATGGAACCATCGAATTATATAGAATTCATAAGATTTGAAGATTTTTATGATTGTTTTCAAATCAATATATTTTTCTTCATCTATTTTCATGATTGTTTTTTGATAGTAATTCGATCGCAAATTATACGAAATTATTGTCCCAAAAGCTTTATATTTCTGATAAAATGTCAAGATCTTTCTATAGTTTAATTAAACTAATACTTGTAAGAGATATTTTTTTGAAATTGCGAAAAATTTCTTGAAAATAAAAGACTTTTATGGCTACAATTCTGTATAATTTGAGCTCAGATTGCTATAAAAACTCATGTAAATAGACAACAAAATATATATTCGATTAAAAACAATCCTCAAAAATCTTCTTTGAATCTGATGAATTCTATATAGTTTGATGGTCTTATGTTTGCTCTTTTCAATAATGAAAACTCGAGTGCGATAACTATAAACGGTCGAGAGTTAACTCTCATATCACCATCAATGACATATTAATCTGTTTTCTACGCGGGTCCGTATTCTCTAAAAAAACCGTCTTCTAGAAAACTCGAATTGGCTCAGAAACTCATTCGAAAATCTTTAGAGATTCGCAAGAGGGTTTCCGAACACATGCAGCATTTCCGAAAATACCTTCTTGATTTTCGAGGGCTCGAAAACTCTCTGGTTTCATAAAATACCGATTTCGACATCCTTAACTTATTTTTGAATATCGTTTTTTTTATATCAGAAATCCAATCGTATTTTCGGATATCATTAGAGTATTATAGGAAACTAATATTGCAACGAAAGATGAATTGGTATTTGGATGGATATGCAAGGATACCGTTGTGGTTTTCGAAGAACATGAGTATGAAAAAAGTACACTAGAAAACTGAAATCGGTGTCCAACTTCGCTTTGACATTGTGGAAATTTGTGGAAATTCTAAAAATCTTCACAATGTTTTACATATGCACCATATTTGGTGTCTAAAAACGTCTTCGACGTACAACATTTCAGATTTTCGAATTTTCGATTTCGATCTTTGACTTCGCTCAGTTTTAGACATTTTTAGTTCACTAGAAACTGATCTCATAGTTAGTTTAAGTTGTTTGATTTCGCATAAATTTTCCAATCGACATTTTTTTCCAAGCTGAAGTCATATCATACTTTCGCAATAGTCTTATATTATCTTTTTATTCTTGGATATATGAAGGAAAATATATATGATGTGAACAGTTTACAAACGAATAATTGTTATTAGAGTAAAATTGATGTATTTTCTTTCTTGGTTTCATTAAATTTCAATACAATAAAGATTAGATATAATAATTACTAATTTTAACTATAAGTTATAGCAAAAACTTCAACAAAACGTCTGCTTTCAGATTATCATTATAACTAGTTTACTTCTAAAGAGTAACAAGACAAAAGATTATTAAATCAGATAAATAACTTCATCTTGAGCGAAGATGTTGATAGATTATCGTCATTCATATAGAATCTAAGCAATATGTTTGCATACAGTTCTGAAAAGAGTGAAGAATCCTCATTCTAGAATCGTCTTCGTCTTCTCAATTTTTCATTACTTTTCTTGTGGAATCGAATGAAAATGAAAGATTAAATTCTCAACAAGAATGTGCCTCTCCTTTAATTATTTTTCTATCAAAAAAAAAAAAAAACCTTCAAATCTTTTTCTTCTACTTCGTTTTCTATACATTTTTCATTAGCAACAACGGTTCTTTCTTACACGTGGCTTCAAAATATCATGGCATTCAAGTCATACGTTTTCTATTTCTCCAAAACTTTTAACTCTCTCGATGAATATTCTGTCTATCTGTTTTTTCCCATAAACCACTGATCATATAAGTGAGGAAAACCATTTGAAAACATTCTTTTTCATTCAGAATTGTTCATCATCATCATCATTCATTCATATCATATCAGTAGAATATAGAAGCTGAAGAAAAGACGACAGCAATAAAGTTTCTAGTGACAACTCTTCTTCGGAATGCAGAGATAGACACTTCGAGTTAGATATATTACCTTGCAAAAAAAATTTCTTACACTTCAGCTAAATTCAACCAAACATTGATGTCATCAGACATATTTCCCGTATTATCAATAAATTCCAAATATGAAATGACAAAACTAATACCTTTGATTTATTTCAAGGTTGCAATCGAGAGAAGAGTACTCTCAACCTAGAATCATCAAATACAAATTTACTGATTTCTCTAGTTTCTTCTTGGACTCATTATCGAATGAACAACTTCTCATCTCCAGTTCGATATTTTACAATTATTATTTTGTTTCTTGATATTAAGCTTATCAGTATCATGAGTATATTTGAAGATGTTGGTAAACTTTGATGTATTAAATGCATTGATATCTCTAGAGTCGTTTCAGGTTTGAAGGAGTATTCAGTGAGGTGTAGGTTCAGGGAGGACTAGTAGTACCGTTTATGTGGTATTACATAAAGATCCATAGAAACGATATATCGAAAATCCTTTTAGGGTTTCTTAGGGCACTTTTTTTTATTGCCTGTAATAGATTATAAAACTATCTATCACTCTCTTAACTATTAGCCTGATCGAGCACTATCGAACAATTCAGCAATGAATTTGAGATCAACTGAATGAGCTGAATTTGTTCGACTCAGCTACTATATGCACTGATCATTTTGAATTGAATATTTGGCACGATGTTATGAAAGAAATGCCATTGTTTCACACGACCGTTTGTGAATTCTATGACCCAGCGAACTTTAGTAATCAATCATGTACTGACTATGATTCTTTAGTAGAAATAAAGGCACCTTTGTGTCGTGACCAAATTTCTGTAAGTCTATTAAACAATCATGAAAACTGCAGTCAACGGTGACTACATCTTCTAATTTCATCCAGTTCTGAAATCCTTGGACATTGTTATATAATAATTTTCGTTGGAACCTCTGAATCTTTATTCTTTCCATCTTCAAAGAATAGGCCCAAGGCCGCTATTATGTAGCCATCAGAAGAGTCTATCATCATCGGCTTAACAAGCAGCTCTTCTTTATAAAGATTATATGTCCGTCTTTGCAGTATATTATTGTGACTCTTTTCAATATAGACATACGTTCCATCTAATATAATTATAGATTTGGTCGGTTCGTCATCCCCCAATAACTGTTGAGCTAGTGGCCACTTGTGTTTTTGTATTACATTCGTTCTCGTTGTATTCCCAAAGCTTAAATGTTTGAGTACAAAGTACTGTGTCAACGCAGAATAAGTACTGTCTAAGATTCTACTAACTTGCATTTTCTCTTCTAATCTGAAGAGTGTGCATAAAGCTTGATGACTTAAACTTAACCGAAGTTTAATTAATAGAATGGCACTTGTTATCCTAGGTGTCTTAATATCCCTATGCCGTAAACTAGATGATGGTATATGAGAACATAAATTGTTAAATTGATCTCAAGTTAGGTCTTTTAATACATGATAATTGTTGTCATTCATTGTTTCTTCATGATCGTCGAGGTTCAATGGCGATCGTTGTTTTATATCATTTATCTTTTCATCTTTATTTCGTATTTACTCTTTTAGCTATCCGAAAAGTTTAATCAATTCATCACGAATGATTTTTACCTGATTTAATTTTTCTCCTTTGATTATTTTCATACCTTTTCGGCTTAATTTTTCATCAATTAAATGACTAGTGCAACATCTGCTACCATCCGGTATGTAAATATGATGCTCAAGTAAACAGTTGATACATAATTCGTTATCAACTTTGGTGAAACGTTTTTTTATACGTGAAATAAATCCCACACACTGAGCATTTGTAACACGATTTAGTCAGCGTAAAAAATGATAATGAAACATAATCAACAGCATTAAATGTAGTTGGTGAAGTAGCAATAGCAACAGCTGAACTGCATTGAGTTCCGGTGGTAGTGATGTTGCTTCCTGATGAATCTATTATTAGATCAGTTTGAATTATGTTATCCATTTTTTGTATATCTATATCTGCGATTAATTCATCTTCGCTTTGCGAGTTGCTGTTTGATGAAGCAGTCTTCTTCTTAGTATATAATTTCATAAAACATGAGTAGTGCAGTTGTAATTGTAATTGCAACAGCTTATTTTCGATCACGTATTGTAATAATTCTTCATAGTTTTCTAGATTTCGATGTATTTCGTCTTCACGAAAAGCTTTGTCACATAGGTGACAAGTACGTTTCGCACTTGTTTCAGCCATTATGAATGATATCAGAGTAAATCAATTGAAAATTTTCATACTAAATGTGGGAAAATAGTCTCACTAATGCGGGCACCTCGCTAAGTGTTAATCGCGGATTCGAAGAAAAAGCATACTAGTCGATGGAACTCGATGAGTTGACTACCATGGTAATAGACCTTTTTCCCCATAGGACTTTCTTATAGAATTTTCAGGTCATATTACCCTCCAACGAAGCATAACATATAGGTGTCAAAGGTACAGATTCGTATGTAGATACCGCATCCATTCTTCCCACGATGTGCATATTAGATTGCCTATTTTGTTCTACATTGGGTATTTGTTTTTCATGTGTTCTAAGTATTAGTATAGGTGATAAGGGCAGATCTTTCTCTTCATGAACTGTTTGACCACTAAATGTATTCTTCTCAGTGTATAATTGCACATAGAGAGAGAAAAAATACCCACAATCAATTCGATATTATCATTCTCTCTCTCTTGCTCTGTCGTCGTACAATGTTCATTTAGGAAGAAACTGAACAACGTGTAAAACTAACATGATTGTTATAGTGCGACTCACTTATGTTGAACATTTCTTTCTTTTCTCTATCGTACAGATGACCTACATACATATATAGGGTGCCTGGAAAATCACTAGAGATAAAAAAATTTGAATATCTCAACGATGTTTGGACCAAATGGGTTGATTTTTTACCACTGATGGAGGAGTGTTCCTAGTCCATATTCATAAGAATAACGTAGACAAAAAGTGTTTCGAAGTATCATTATTGACTTCGATAAAGAAATGTCCTTCTAGGCGAATTTCTGAAAAAATCCCATTTACAATGTGTTTTAAAAGTTATTATAAAGAGCAAATTTGAATAAGTTCAGTATATTCTAGCCAAAATAGTCTAATTTTTTTTTAAATATAGAGGTATATTGCCGGTTCAATTCGTGTCAAGTGAAATAAGACGTTTTACAGCTTAAAGTTGTCGTATACAAATAGTGTTTTTCGAAAGCCGTAAGAGGACAATTTCGTTTTATTGATTTCAAAAGTGATACTTCGAAACAGTTTTTATCCACGTTATTCTTATGAATATGGACTAGGAACACCACTCTATGAGTGGTATAAAAATTAACTCATTTGGTCCAAACATCGTTGAGATATTCAAATTTTTCTATCTCTAGTGGCTTTCCGGACACCCTATATATGATCTAAAAATTCTATAAGAAAGTCCTATGGGGAAAAACGTCTGTTACCACTATGACCAGCTCGTCGGGCTCTATCAAGTGGTGTACCTTTTCTTCGAATCCGCGATCAACACTTGACGAGGTTCTCTCGTAAAAGTTTTGGGTTTAATTTGTGATGAGTGCAAAAATATAATGTTTTAACTGGTTAATTCATATTTTGATAGATTAATCGGGATGAAACTTGTGAAATATGTTGCTTTACTATAGTAGTGTAACGGACTATTTCTTGATTGAGAAGTGGAATGCTATATTTGTACGTGAATGTTATTCAGGCTCAACCGCGTCTGACCTCTACATTCCATTTAATAGCTATTTAGCAGTCAGTTTCGACCTGCACCCTACAGGCCTCATCAGTAGAATTTTAGTATTCAAGTTTACTTCAGCGATCAGAATTTTTATTAGATATAGATAAATGCACTCAAATGAACCAAAATCATGTCAATTCAAAGCCAGAGAATGTATTTCAGTTTCTTGAACACCATCACTACTTGCAAAGTCTGACTTTATGTCAGTATTTCTTGCGTTTGATCATGTTCTTCATTTTTTTTTCTCAGTTTTCAAGTCATATTCCGAATAAGCATGAGAAACTGTATCGATCTATCTATATCACTCATTAGTTAGAGATTTTATCACCGTGTAGTATAAGGTCAAGTTATTCCAAAATCTTGATTTTCTTTAATGTTCCTTTTGGGTGTTTCATACTGAAACTATCCAATATTCGACTACAAACAGCGTTTTTAACATGCTTCTGATTGGAAAGACGAATTGGAACACAGATGATTGTACTTTAGGCTTTTCAATAACATTATTAGAATCCGTGACGATAACAATTGGATATAGTATTCTATCAGCATCCTACAGTAAATTAGGCTTTTCTTCACGAGAGCTCCATATTTTTCAAATTTCAACCAGAAGTTTATAATCAACATCAAATTCTGCATCTGTTGATGTGTGAATCAAAACAAATTAGAAAAAAAATAATTTTTTAATGATCCTGGAGTCTCTTACAGGTGCGAAACTATAGGTAAAAATTGAAAGTTGGTTCCTGACAGAAAAAAAACATCTCATTTTTATTCAGAATTTCACCATGATTCAGAATATGTGATTCTTTTTCAAAAGTATTTTGGACAAAACAATAGCCTTATCGATACTTCTACTTTACAACGCTTAAAAGTAGTACAAAAATTTTCCCGATAAATATGTTTAATAATTTCATATGCATCACATAGTAGCTATCTTACAACAATAAATTGAAAACAATTCAATTTTACAATAATGAATGCGAAAATGAAAGTCTTGTCTCAAAATTTAGAAGCATCTTTGCATTTAAAATTTTTCAGAAGGGCTTTATTATTTTTTATATATTATGTATAGTTCACTGTGTACTTATGTCTGTCACTGTCACTCAAAACGGAAATAACACAGAAAATGAAAACAGCACAACAAATTGAGAAACAACTAACGATGTCTAGAAGGAAAAGCTATATCAAACATCAAAGAGCTACTGTTGACCAAGACGATGATAACCGATGTGAAATATTAGAACTGCTGAAGAGAGTACAGCCAATAGAAGATGGTAGAATTGATACAAAGCGTTACGAACACAGCAGGGTTAAGAGGCAGTCGCCTCTATTTTGGCGTGAAAATTGTCTTGACATATATATACGTCAATAACAGTTAAAGCGTTAATCAGAATATTCCATTGGTCCTTCATCCAGATTATTTTTGATATATGAATAATTTATCTGTATAAATTAATATGTGATGCAAAAATCTTTGAAAAAATCCCAAACTCTGTTATACTATATTGCCAATTTCTCAATCGATCAATTTTTTTGTGTTAAAAGAAACAATGTCTGAACTATACATTTTCTACTAGATATATGCTTTGAAGCGAAACTGACAAAAAGGAAAAGCCCAGAAGGAAAAATTTCGAAAAAAGTTCTTGTAATGTTTTTCCTACTTAAAAAGTCCGTATTTCTGAATTATTTTGAACTGCATGATGAATTAAGTTAGAATAAAAATACAGCAAAATATCAGCATCGACAAAATTCTTTAGAACTGTTCTTGAGTCTTTAATCAAAAACTTTTGAAAAATTCAATTTTTGTAAAATACAGTCTTTTCCAACAAAATATCAATTTGCAAGAACATCAGCCATCATCTTCAGAAATTATGCATAAATTAAATTCTTTTTGCGTTATTTATTCGAAATATTTCAGATCATAGAAACTTAGTAGAGAAAATAATTTAAAAAGAATTTTTTTATCGCTGCAAAACGATTAACATATTCAGTCTTTTTTAGAAAAAGCTATATTTTTGTATAAAAATCAAGAGTAAATTTTACTTTCAATACATCATTGAAAAGAGCACACACTACATACTACAAAAATCAGCATTAAACGTATTTTTTTATTTTCCTTCTGATATAAAAAATTAATAAAGAATAAAAAATACTGTTGTTCAATAATCGAGTTACAAGAACTTTTTTGAAGTTGTTTAGTTTCATGTTTTTCCTCCTCGTCAGGTTCGTTCTAGAAAAATATGTCTCATACAAAACGTATAGTTCAGACATTTTTCTTTCGAGAAAAATTTGATTGGTTCAGAACCCAGCAATATGGTATAACAGAATTTTGATATTGTTTCAAAGACTTATGCGTCGCATATTAATTGATTTTCTTTATCTATATTGTTGCATATCTAGAAAACAAAACTTTCTAGAAGTTCGTCTCTTTTATATAAATATATATATCATCTAAAACATTTTCTAATTACAATTAGATATTGGCAAGATGGTCCTAGGAACCAGAATTACTAGCAGGTCAAAGTAGATAGATTGATATTCTTGATTTTACGAATACATATAGTTCACGAGAAAAATGTTGGAAACAAACCATACTTATAATAACAGGCAAGGATATTTACATTTGACAATTAATTCTCGCAATAACACGAGTGCAATGTTTACCATTGAATTGTTTTGGGCCTAAACAAGTTTTCCTGTCAGTCAATGTAAGTCTTCAACATTTGTTTTTCATTAGGAACGATATTTTTTACGATTGTGCAAAGCATATGTCAAATGTCATATTCTAATGACTCATATATTCTAAATAAATATGAGACAACATGACTCCGTTCCATGAGCCCAAAACAAAAACAACCCGGTTCCACTTATGTCTAATTACAATGCATAATTTCACTTGTCATCATGACTTATATGTTTTCCATATATAGTACAACGAATAGAAAAATAATTTTATTAACATCATTTTTTATATCCTGACTCATGTCCTTGTATTAACTGAATTTCCAAGAAATAGATGTTAATCAGTACAAAAAAAAACATTTGGCTAGCATATGCATACTAGAAAGAGATATTTTCTCGAAAAAAATCCTTCATCATATTGAAGACATTTCATTTAATTAGCTAAATTAATGTTACGGTAATTTATTTAAAAGCGAAGTTTCGATCGTTTTTAATATAAATACTAAGACAAAAGAAACCTAACTGGAAGAATAGATTCGACAAAAATTCAATGTAAGAAAATTAAAGTTGTTCATTATGACTATTCTATTATTATTGTTTTGGATCAGGTGGATTTGCTTCTTTAGGTGGTAATGCTGCACGACCTATTTTCAATGCAGTTGCTACTTGAGTAAAATATGATCCTTGATGTTCAGCTATTTTTAATTCTAAATCGGTTGGTTTTCGTGATCCATCACTACCAGCATAAGTACCTACAAAAAAATCAAAATGAAGTAAAAAATTAAATATATATGTATGTGCAGAATGTTTCAAAAGTTCTAATGAAAATGTGAATAGTTCCTCAACAATTCAAGAGATTTAAATATTTTTTTCTTAAGAGTTTAATCACATATTTATTAAAGTTTTCAGAGTTTTATTAACAGCCACACTCGAGTCAACTTCAATTATAAAATGCAAAGCTGCAAGTCAAATTCGACAGAAACACGCCAACTAAATCTTATATTAGAACTACATTTCAGCGGTTTTGTGAAATTTGTATTATCAAAAATCGATCATCAAAAATCGATCCCGTTCTAGAAGATCATAGAGAAATTACTGAAGAAAAAGTTAAGAATGTTTGTGAAAATGAGCTAGAATCGAGTATTTGATATAGTACACAAGCTTACTTATTACCACAAACAATAACATATCGGATTATGACCAAATATTTCTTATTAAAATACAATTTATTCAACAATCCAACGAAGAAGAATGACATAAACGAACACTTAATCCTAACTCATTTTTACATAAATCATTAATTTCACCGACTTTTTCGGCAGTACTCGTTTCAGAAAATTGCTGAAATATGTTAATAAGGTAATGTTTAGCTTGCATATTTTTTTTGCAAATTTAATTTCTAGTTATCATTTTACAATGCTGACTTATTCGAATTTCATCATGAGTAAAACTATTTCTATTCTGTAGATACAAAATATTTTATCTGAAAACTTTAATGGATATATGATTAAACTGTTAAAAAAAATATTTTCAAAGGTTCTATTCATATGTTCATTCGGACTTTTGAAACATCCTGTGTATATATGATTAATAACTTACCAGCACCATATGCACTACCACCATGAATTTCATCCATATTAGCTAAAAGTGGACTTGTATAACCAATTGGTACCTATTTTTAAAAATAATAAGATAAGAAAATTTATTATAAATACATACAAATAACATTCCATGATGAATAAAATTTGTTAATGATGTTAATGTTGTTGTTTCTTGTCTAAAAGAAATTGTGTAAATTGTTGTTTGTTTTTTTTTTTATTGTAAATTATTTTCTTACCCTCCAGCTTGAGTACCAGTTGAAAAGAATACACCAATTGGTTTTCCAACAAGTGAACCTTTCATCCATAATCCACCTGTTGCATCCCATATAGCTTTAACTTGTGCAGGCATTCCACCAAAACGAGTTGGATAACCAAATAGAATACCATCACAATTAACTAATGCATCTTCCAGTGTAACGGTATTTTCAGTACCAGGTGCGAATGATATTGTTGGAACAGTTTTATCTTTTTCTGGTGCATGCATTTTTGTTAGAACTTCTTTTGATAATGTTTCTGGTACTTGAATTAAACGAGCTTCAGCACCAGCGGCTTCAACACCTTTTAATATAGATTTAGCCACTAGAAATATAAATATTTATTTTATTAAAATATTTCATTTTATTTTTCTTTTTAATTTTAAATTTACATGTTGCAATATGACCATACATTGAATAGTAGATAATATGAATTCGTGTTTTATTACTAGTTGTAACTTTTGAAGCCATTAATTGAAATTTTGTAATATTATAAATTCTAGATAGAATATAAACAATTATTTCAAAATACTTCCTATAGAATAGGTCATTTCGTTTCTATTTATAGATTTTTGTTTTTTTCTTTCCATTGCGTTCTATGCAATGTCATTTTTATATATTGCAATCGTTATTATGATATATTATTATCGTTTCTGTTTGACATATTTTTGTTTTATCAGTATAAGTTTGTCGAGTACAGTAGGTCATGGCGAATGTCAAATAGAAATTTCCTGTAAGAATTTTAATAAATTCGATTAATTCTCTATTGACTTATATGATTGACTTTTTAAAATTTTCTTCTCATATTTATCTATAAGATATCCTTTGAGACGTACTATCTACAACGTTATAATCGATAATGATATATTTCGTTTATTTTTTTTTTGCATGTTTTTTTTTTCTTGTCAAAAGATTGATCATAGAAATATTTTATTTTTCATAGATCAAATCAAATCAAATCCTTTTGATTAATGTCAATGATTATTACTATGAAGCAACATATATTAAAATATAATTTATCATATATTTATTTTTATGTCATATTATTCGCAGAGACAAAGTAAATCTATTGTGAGAAACAGAAGTATATATGCAGTTGATTTATCATAATTTCTATGTCTGATGAATATATTTAATTAATGTATAAAGGTGTAGTCCTGTGAAATTTTTAAATGCTATGAGAGAAAATACTTATAGAAATAGATAATGAAAAAAAATAAGTTTTCACCGCTATTCATACAGGATTAAAATATTAAATGCAATGAAACTTCTTTAATTATTATGGGAAATTCCATTATCTATATGACAGACATATCAACATTTCCCTCAGTAAGTTGAAAGGACGTTAGCATGTTTGTCGCGATCTTTGAGACATGATGTGGGAGATTGGTTTCATTTTCTCGCCGTATACATCAATATTCATTAACGATCATGTTTCACAGAAGCATTATAACAGTAAAAGAGAAATCTTAGGTAATTTCTGTAGTGATTTCCTTGATATATAATTACAAAATAATTCTCAAAGAACATTTTGTCAATAAGTATAATAGAGAGTTTTTTAGAAATTAATTATATTGATCGGTAGAAGTTGAATTAATCTTATGATTTTATGAAGTAAATTAACAATTAAAAAAAAAGTTAAAAATAAAAAAACTGTTTTAGTTGACATACCAGAACTTTTTTAATTATTGTTGATATTAGCAGAGGTTTCGCCTAATTAGAAAAAAAAATGTGTAAAAACGCGAGATGACATTCTAGGCGCTTTTGTTTTCATTTACTGAAAAGTCATTTGAGTAGTGTCAAATTCACTGTAAATAGAGACAGATGATATGAGTGCAAGGTGTTTTTTTACACTGTTTCAAATTAACATAGTGCAATTCTTAATAACTTACATATTAATTCTAATGCTTAGGTTTTGTTTAATATGGTAAGATTAGAATATTTTCATATGCTAGAACTATGAATCTCGAAACTTCTCTAGTGAATAAAATTTATTCTAATATTTAACGTACAAAAGTCGAACAATTTTTCTTTGAAATGATAGATCAAAAAAACATTGGAAAAAATTTCTCAAGATTAGAAGTAAAATATTTAATTTTTCTTTGCTCATGATAAATATGAGAAGAACAAATATTTGATTGAATCTTCGTGAATTAATATACTCAGAGAGAAAGAAAAAAAAATGAATAGTGATATCATTTCTGCAAGATAAATACACCTGTAATAAATTTCTTTTTTTTCGTAAAATTATCACTAAGAAAGTATGAGTATTAAAGAAAAAAAAAACGATCACAAAAAAAACATGTCAAATATTTATACACCTATTACTTCAACCTACTACCTGTAGGTAAATAACCTCAACTAAAAAATCTAATTATCTTAATAGTGCAAAGGTCTATTTTATCTCTAATATTATTTTGAAATGATTTGCGCACTCGGGATGAACAACAGATAAAATAGCAAAAGAAAACATAAAACCGACAGATCATTAGAGCACCAGAAACTAAGAAATATGATAATTAATCTAGTCGAATTAACCAATCCAATTTATTACAAGTAATTCTTCTTCATTAGCAATTATTATTATTTATAAATAGGAGACAAAAAAAAATAACCTCTAATCTATTGAAAATAATATATTCTTAATAAGTCTTTTTTTATAATCATAAAATAACTTAATTTTTTTTGTATAGATAAAAATCCTTTTATCAAGAATAAGATGACGCTAGACGACAATACATATAGAGTGTGAAATTATTTGTAGAATGCAACATATAAGAAAATATGTATATATCAACGATATTTGCTAAAATCTTCATAGAATAACTAATAAATAGTGTTTACATTCTTTAAGCGACTCCTGTCAGAAATCGTGGTTTTTGTCAAAAAAATTTGACTAGTTCATTTGCTATACCGTTTTATTAAGAAAGAAGTTTGAATTCTTAGGTCAAACTTTGTTTTCTATTGTTCTATTCTTATGTCTAAGATTTCTTGATAGTTTTATATGTTATAAAGCTCATCAAGGTTTTAAAAATTGAAGAGAAAAAATTGCACTCTATAACTCAACAGAGTCAAAATTTTCATTTTCAACTTATTTTTTGAAACAAAATCTGAATGGTTTTTTTTTCATAGGGGCACTTTGATTCTTCGGGAAAATATTTCATCAGAAGCAAAAAAAACAATATTTTGAAATATTGAGCTCTTTTAAATTGTAACGGCAGATCTTCACTGCATTTTAAAACCAATCCGAAATATATATCATTAAATTTCGAAGAGAATTCCTTGAAATTTTCAACCAGACAAATCATTCTAGAGCAAAAAATAAGTTTCTAACAGGAGAATAGGGCTTAAATGATTAAGTAAAATATGATCTTATATCATATAAAATAACATGATATTAGAGAGAGACAGTCATTAAAATGAAGAAGTACTAAATTTAAAGAAGAAAAAAACAAGATTTTTTTTTCTTTTATAACTAATTTTTAAATGTCGACTAATATACAATTGTAAATATTGTTTGAATATACCAGCTATTTCTACTTCTATTTTAGAAAAAATATATTGTCATACGCAAAAAACACCAAGATTGATATGTAATGAAAAGGTTTCAATGCATCTAATTTCACTAGACTTTGAAGTTTCTTTGCATGTCACAAAAATGTCAAGTATAATGTTGATCTAACAATGTTAAGTGAAGTAAAAAAAATACGTAGTCGTCATAATAAACCTCTGCAATATGTAATTTCTTTTGAGTTATTATTGATGTTTCATATTTTCTTCGGATTTCTTTTTACAGATAAATATAGATAATAATCTTTCATTTTAATTATAAAATAATAGACGACATAGACTTAAGCATTTCTTTGACAGGATTGAACGAGGTCAAGTTATTATCTTGTTTTTATTTAATTTTAGAACAGTAAGTTTTTTTTATGATACAATATCTTGTTCTTAGTTTTTATGCACAAAATCAGAACAAATCTATGCATACTAAAATGACAGAATTACTATAACCCTTATCAACAAAATATAAACAGGAAAATAAATTCTTCTCTTTCATACAGTTCTACAAAACAATAAAGTAAAATATAAAGTTAAAGTTGTGTACAAACAAAAAAAAAAATATATATATATATATATTTATTAACATATAAATGAATATCATATTACAGTTATTGAGAGGATACAAACAGTAATGCAAAAAAGAAAAAAAATATCCCATTAAACTGTTTTCAGTTTTAAAGTGAAGGTATATTTAAACGCGGCTTTTTTTGAAAACTGATTATTTTCTATAGCTGATAAACTTCACAAATGGTCATTCACTCTAAATCAGGGTGGTAATTTCATTCAAAGTTCTTCTCATCTAACTATTCGAACTCTGCAGACACACACTATCAATCTCATTATTAAGATATATAGGTAATGCTACATGCGATGATTGTATGTTTGATGTTCTGTGTATGAATATGAGATAATCGAGCAAGAAATTCGAGTAACATTGCTGGTCTGATTCAGAGCTGCGTCATCATCAAGTATTAATGACAAAGCAAGTAATCGTTTGTAAAGTGTATCGGCTACAAAAAAAAACAATTGGCTTACAAAGAAAAAAGATACTGTTAGACATACCTTCACTACACCTAAAAACGGTTTAATTGGATATTTCTTTTTCTTTTTTTTGTTTTTTTGTTTGTGTTGTCTCAATATTATCTAAATGGGTCATTCGAAAACGAATACAAAAAAAAAAAAGGTAAAATAACACGTAAATAAAATACAATAGACTTATTTACTATATAATGACCTAAAAATGCGTATATAATAATGCAAGAAGAAAGAAAAAAAAAGAAACAAATGAAAAAAAACTTATTTTTGTCCGTGGCGGCTTGTGAAATATTTGAAAATAAAAACACATGTATTCAATTGATGCTGATATAGTAGAAATACACATCATTTTTCTAACAAATTTATTAAGAGATTAATATAAATTAAGATCATTGGTTAAAAGTTTTGTTCCTGCAAAAAAAAATCATCATTTTCTACTGAAATTGATTTTTAATGTTGAATTACATATTGACTTTTTGTTTGTTTTTGAATAAATTACTCAGATTAACGTCATTCGACTTTTGTGTCCAAGTTATGACTTAAACTTGTATAATACTGTTTTACTAACAAACTATTGTGGTCTATTATTAATGTTTAGTATATAATTCGATATAATGACATTGTGTGTGCAATCAAATCGTAAACATCAAGTGGGTCATTTATTTTAGTCAATCCATATATAACCACATGCTACCGTAATCAAAACCAGAAAATGTACTCCCATATAGAATAAGAATATACACAATTTAACAATATAGATTAATTATTCAACATCATTGAAATATTGGATTGTATTATAATAAATAATAAATAATAATTAATTATATAAATCTGAATAATATTTTAAAAATAAATATCTAACATGATGATCATATCTTACAATTCAAAATCTTGAAATTCTGTATAATTTCTTAGTTCATATAACGAGTAAAAAAAAAATATTATTGGAACGTTGTTTTTAAAAATATGTCATATGTTTTCTTTTTTACCTCATTTCTAAATACGTATATGCCATTGTTACTGATTAGTGATATGTAAAGTATTTCTGTTGTAGAAAAAAAAATTGATGTTATGTTATTAAAACAGTCAACCATTGTAGTGTTTGTAAGCTTAATTTGTAATCTTTTTTTTCTGCGACTATTGGCGTTATTTACACAAAAGATTGTAAAGAATTTAACATTGATTACGTAGAATATACTTAACACAGAAAATGTTTTCTTTCGTTTTTTTCTTCTTCATTGCATCATATACATTATTAATTATTTGTTTTCTTTTCTTTCACATACTCGAAGAAAAAAAATAGGAACAGACGACTAGACCTTCTTAACTTTAATAACTTGAGAAATCTCAAAAGAATCAGTAATCTATGGTTTTCTTGTATTTCAAAATAATTTGGCACAAAAAATAATTTCCCTTGTGAACATTTGCCCTCAAGTAATATCTGATTCAGATTAGGATAAAAATAAAGGTTCTCTAGAAAAAAAAAACAAAAAAAAAGAAAAACATTTTCTTTTCGTTTTCTCCGTCATTTCATTAAATCATTGCAACATACTATCTATCCAATATGCGTAAATAAATTATTGTTTTTTTCCCTTTTAAACTAGGATAATGATTTGCATTAGTTACCTTTATGCCTATATTGATTTGCACTGGTATAGGTTAGCTGCTTTATTATTATATTACGCCTCTAATCTAAACCCCATGATGAATCATCTAATTTATTATTTTACAGGCAAGTTAATATTATCGTTCTGTATTTTTTTCTTTTGATCTCTTATTTCGTATCCCACGATGCATGAAATATGTACTTCTCATTTTGCATTGTTTTTTTCTTCTTTTTGATAAACTAATCATTTTTTATTGGCCAATAGTATATAGACATTAATGTATGTAATGATACATATGAAGTACAATGAAAAAAAAAAAACAGAATGCAACAATAATATTGAAGACAAAAAAATAGAAGAAAGAAGAAAATAATTATATATGGGGTTAAACATGAAACATAAAATGTTTCCTTTTGTTTTCCATTGAAATAAAAATGCATATAATAACTACAAGTTTTTTTTTTTAATTTTTTTTCTTGTTTGTTGAAATAGAGATCACCGTATTTGACGACAATTGAGAATAGAAAGACAAACATAGCATTTCTTGGTTTGTTTCTTTTTTTTTCTTGAATTTTAGTTGAGCGAAAATGTAGTTAACATTGTATACACAAGATTAGCAAATGGTTGTCGTTCGACTAAAGATTTATCTACATCAACTCCAAATTTTTGATGTTCTAGAACTTGTCCAATAATAGTCGTTAATAATTTTTGTCCTTCACTTTGTCCATAACGATATAGTAAATAAGACCATAGTATATTTATATATTGTTCTTGTGCTTGTATTATATGGGAAATTGTTTTTTCAGATGGTTGATAATAATAATTTGAATCATAATTTGTTACTAAACATGGTGTGAGAAAAAGTATAATTTGAACAATTTTGCTTATAGCAGGATCAAAACCAATTAAATGTTTTAATTTTTGTATTAAATATTCTGCTCTTAGTAATAAATCTTGACCATAAACATATACATAAACAGCATGGCAAGCTTTTTTTGGATCAAAATGCGTTATATTATTATTTATACTCATTAAATCCATAGATGAAAATAATAAAATGTAATGTAAATTTGTACGTACTAACCATGCACGATCATTACTATTCATATCCATTGAAAATGATGGAATTGTTGCACGAAAAAACGATACTAATGATGTAAGACGTACAGTTAATACATTCATAAATGTATGTTCTTTTAAACGACATTTAATAGGTTGTCCACTTAAATATTCTTCACGTTGTTCTTCAGCTTGTAATATTGGATGTAAACAATAATGTTCATATGCACTACGAATATTTGTTAATTGTATCCAATCATTTGATGATAACGGTGTTGAACATTTAACAGTTGAATTAAAATTTAATGTAGATAACTAAAATTATCATAAAACAAATGAAATATAATAAGATTGTTTGGTTTTGTTTTTATTTCGACTTACATCATGTGGTACACGACGATTATGTTTTTGTGATGATGTTGCTGGCGTAGATGATAATGATGCTGCTAGAAGTTTTTCTTGTCGTTGTAAACGATTTGCTTTAACAAGTTGTAAACGAGCAGCACGTTCTTCATCTGTTCGAATTAAATCTTTTTGCATACCAACAGCAAAACATTTTGCTAAACGACATGTTGGACATTGTCGTCGTGTACGTTCATTAACTGGACATTGGCTACCAAAACGGCAAGGTGGTAAAGCCTAATTTAGAATAAAATAAATAAAGATAGTTCTTTTGTTTTTTTTTTAATGTTTTAATTTATTTTACTTACGGAACCTGTTCGACCGTTTCGTCGAAAAAAAGCTTTACATGTTGAACAAGTAATAACACCAAAATTTCGGCCTGTATTTTTTTCAAACCCACACACACGGCATGGGTCACCAGGTGAAATACGATGTGAAAGTTGAGATTGCATCTAAAAAATATATAGACAAATAAATTATATATGAAGAATAGCAATTTTCCTTATCAAAGACTGTTTCCTAACAAATAGATTATTTGTCATACGGTTTCATGAATATTGAGTGGAGTCATCTTGACCTTTATAATATTATATGTTGTTTACTGTAAGTAACAAAAACTCATATTTAGTCGCTATTAGGTTATTGCATTGTATATTAAAGTTTTAATTCATGATAATCATGAATTTTTATGTAAGTCTTACAAATAAATGTAAAATTTCTTTCTTTATTTGCATATGCTATAGTCATTAGAGAATACAATATAGGTAAATGAGAAAAAAAAAACAAACGAAAAAAAGAGAGAATACTAAAATCAATACTTTTTATTGAAAAATAAAATAAAATTCGCAACTAGAATGTTTTACTTAAGTAAAGCTCATTTTTTTAAAGTATGAAGATCATTCATAAAAATATACGAAAAGTACTATTTTTTTTTAATATAACAAAAAGAAACTTTTTTTCAGTTCTCTCATGGTAATTACTTTAGCTTTCATGTTTTTTAAACATAAAAAATTTTAAAAAAAATTATATTTTCCTAAAGAACTCTCAAAAAGTCATTCGGTTCATTTTTATTTCTATTGTATTATCAACAAGAAAAGGCCCATATATATCTGATCATATATCAATTTCTTACTTTTTTTGGTATACGATTCATAAGAATTGAATTATTATGATTATTTCCAGTTTTTCCATATTGATAATGCATATCATCTTCATTATATGTATCCATTATACCCAACATTTTTTTTCACCGGGACACAAAAGCAGATTTGTCTTGTTCTTGTAATGTAACGCGTATATGCGTTTTTATGAAGGTAATGGTATGTATGTTTGCACTTGAGTAATAGTAACTCGACGTTCTGTTTTTTTTCTCTCTTTCGTCTATAATAACAAAATGAATCGAGACGAGAAGAAGAGGAAAAAAGGACTTGAAAATTTTTCTTTCTTTTATATATGCACCCTCGTTCTTTTCTCTGTCAATGAGTATATTTTTTTCTCATGAAGGACGCAGTTGCCTAAGCGAAAAGAAGTAGGACACACGCATTTTTTGAACTGATCGAAATATAAAATAGCCAATAAAAGCAAAAACATAAGAATATAGAACACAACTAAGAAAAATCATCGCTTATTCGAGTTAAATTGACAACAGCAACGTGTATCTATAAAGCTATATTAAGACTCATCAACAAACCAAATGAGATTGATGTGCACTACATATTTTTATATGTACAACGAATGAAGAGTGATCTAGATAAGGTGTTTTTTTAGTTTCTCTAATTAAATTATAAAAGAAGTGATCATTTTCAACAATATTTAATTCAAGCTCGTGTTCGAACACGTGACTCAATTAGATTCTTTATGTAGAAAGAAAGAATATTTTCAGATGATCTTTTTTTTCTTCTTTTTGATTTAAATTCTAAAAATATACAATTAATTAAAATTTATTATGCCTTATTTATTATTTTATATTGATTGGTTTTTACAATAAACAGGTTTTTTTAAAATTTTCTCTGGGATTTTTAATTAAAATTTACGAGCATTCTATAAATTAATTGAAAGAAAAAAAATCATGACAACGAATGTTTCCTACTCTTGAGATTATTTCATTTTGAAAAAAACCCAATCTCATTTTTTTATGTCTAAAAAAACAAATGTTGTTTTTCTTCTTTAATAAATGCACCAAATACTCTCAATGTTCTAATGACAACAAAAACATCGTTTTATAATAGAAAAGAACTTTTTCTATAGATACCTATTATCATTGTGAATGTTTTTATTTTAATGACTTAAGCTGTTAAAATAATTAACTGTATAAATTAGACGATAAATGCACGTATTAACCTATTATCTAGTTTCGTGTCATATATGTGAAGATTTTTTTTACCCAGAAGTATGTCGTATTGTTGCAAAAAGTACTGCAAGCACTTGCGTCCTTCTTCCTTTCTTTGCTTCTCTCTTATCGACAACCAATAAAGTCCTTTGACGGGTAAGAGCCAGCAAAAAAAAAACGAGTAGACAAAAAATAGAAAAAGAAAAGACGCAAAAGATGCAAAAAGACTGTTTTGCAGAGGAAGAAACGACAAAGAACAAGAAAAAAATGCCGCATTTGTAAGGTCATTATAAGCTATATCTATAATGTTCGAAGAATAATAAACATATATATATATATATATCTAGAATGTACCGAAGGACTTATTGCAGAGATACATTGAAGGATAAAAAAAGAAGTGCAAAAAAACATATACATATTTTTTAAAAGTTTTGATGAGTTCAATACTTGATCATGCATTAAATAATATCAATGAACATGAAAAAAAAAGAATTTTTTTACAAGTTCATTAAATTCCTATTTTCTTTGACTATAAATATAGGTTATTTAAAATGATTTAGTTATTTTGCCGCGTGACCTTGACACGTGATAAAAGATTTTTGTATTAATAAAAAGAAGAAAAAGAAAAATTTTACTATGCTATAGAGCGTTTGTAAAATATAACTAGATATTAAATAGTGACGTATTTATGGTTTTAATACATTAGATTTGAATTATTATACAAGAATAAATATAATGTTTAAAAAATGATAACAATATCCAGGTAAATGAGATTATTGTATTGTTTAATTGACTTTGTTCATCTTTAAATAGGTATAAGAATTAGAGATATGAAAAAAAGAATAATATACGATATTATTAAACTTTCACAGATTTTTTTTATGTTAGAATTTGTCATTGTTCTAATTTTTCTTTTTCTTTCTGTATGACGCAAAACTCTTAGAAGTTTTCTAAATAAATATTAAGAAGAAACAGAAAATTTACGATTAATTGAGATAAAACGTTTTCAAGAAAAGATGTTTTTTTTTTCGCTGTCTAATTTCGCAGTGTATTATTACAAATAGATTTTTTTTTGATAAAGTTATATTAATAGAATTTTATTGAAAAACAAAAATAATACTTTATCATCTTGGATTATTCTAAATTAGTTTAGTTAATTTCACAGAATTAATTCGAATCTTTTTCTCAACTAAATTTCATCGGTTTAACACATCTGTAAAATTATTTATAGTTTTTATAGAATGTAGTTATCAGAAAACTGAGTACATTTGATTAATTGTTTTGATATCAAATATGATCATTTAGCAAACCAAAGTTCTATTCTAAATAATTCTATTTTCTAAAATAAATAAAAAATATTGCAGTAGACATGATGTCAATATTTGTTGACAAGTATCATTGGATTTATTTCAAATAAAATAAGTACTTAAAGTAGATCGACGTTCATTGAACTTCATAGACGTTAGCGACATGATTTAGACGACAAGGCAACAACAATCATTCGTTGAAGTTTTCTTTTAACAGAACATGTTATTAAAAACAATTTTTTTTATATAATTAAATGAGAATGTTTTATGAACAAGAAAATCTTCTTGTCTGGAATTTTCAGTAGATAATTCAAATAAAAAGTTGCTGATAGATAAGCTTAAAATTGTTAATTGCTTCTTTTTTCATGGAATAACAGATTTCTTTTCACTTGAAATATTCTCGTTAGTTTTCTTTCCGTTTTGTAAAAGACAAAAAAAGAAGAGCACATAAGGTCACGTTAGAATTCACTATAAGAACTTTGATATTTACTAATTGTCAGTATTGACATCATGCTCTTTGGAAAATTAAAATAGAAGGAGCGTATGATGAAACATCTTCTAATTTCAATGTCAGAGACAAAACATGACATTCATTTTTCTTTCTTTCTATTTTCTACGGAAATAATTTTGATGCACTTCAAATGTGTTGATTATAAACGGATACTTGTTCGAAAGCTTTTCTATGAAAGAAAAATTAAATAATACATATGTTTTGAATTTATTCAGTATTCATACTAATGACATTGGTTTATTGTATGAGATGAATTCGTGATTGAAAATCGTACACCTAAGCGTAATAACTTGTCATTTAATTAATAAATATAAACTTAATCACATTTTTTTTTAATTCATATTTTCATGGCATTAATCGCATTGTTTTTCATGAAAGAAAAGGGTAAGAAAGAACGAAGTATAACATATTATGGCAATCATTCAACTACTGATTATAAAATTACTTAAGACAAAAAAATGAGAAAACTTGAAATTATTTGTCATTGTGCATATCCGTTCATCATATAAACGGATATATCAATTAGTTATTTCCATGAATATCTTTTCTTAAAACTCGAAAGTATGTCTAGTAAAAATAAGTCTTCAAGTAAATATCTGAAAGACTTCTCTCAATTAATGATATTAAGAAAAAAACGAATCGATACGTGTTGAACATTCGTTTTTTTTGTGTCATAAGCTCTTCGCTAAATAAAAACAGAATAATACAGAATATATATTAAGATTACAGTATAGTAGCATGGAAAAAATCGAGTTCAAGTTTAAATGGTAACAGATGTTTTTCATTTTAATCATTGAAAGTAGACTTTTTTTTTTTTGAATGAGTCGTTTTAGAAAATATATATAGAAGATAATTTTACAAATGAATATAGTTTTTTGTCTATCATTAAAGATATTCTTTGATATTTACCTATTAAGACAATAAATGAGAAAACTTCATCTAAGGATTTTTAAAAAAATCATATAAACATCCACACCCAAAACGTTTTTTACTATCGAAAATTTTAATTTCTCACTTTTTATATACTTCTATCAATAAATTTTTATTAGTACAATTTAATAAATCTCAAGATGTTGTTATAAAGATACAAAAATAAATTATATGTGATTATTTTTTTGTTTATTTCGATTTATCTAACGAAGGAATGTTTTCAACTTCATCAACCTCTTTTTTAACTTATCGAGCATGTTCATTTCAAATATGTCCATAGTAAATCCCCGTAGAACTGCATATGTCTGGTTTTCTAGATTAACGAACTTTTCAACAACAAAAAAAAAATCCTTTTTGACTGATCCACAGTTTAGAGCACATCGAATTGTCTAGAAAACAGTAACTTTTTTTGTTTTAAATATATCAATATGAAAAGGCAAAATATTTGTTAGTTTGTAAAACTGATTTTATAAAGAATCAATATACAATGACTTAAGGAAATTTCTCATAATCATATACTTGAATCAGCATGATTGATAACCTATAACCCAGTAGCTTTTGTTGATAAAGCGATTAATCAATTGAAAATGTTCTTTCATAAGTGGAAATCTATTAAAAAATTCTTTTTTCCAGCTGTATTTAATAATAATATAGTATATATGTGAGAAAAATTTTTATAAAAAAATATATTTATTTTGTTATTTTTGAATGTATAAATTTTATTTTATCATTTTGTTAATTATACAGATTTGGTTAATATTTAATGAAACAAATAAAAAAACAAGGGATATGAATATTGTACCATCAAATTGATGAATAAAAATAAGGATAATTGAATATTTTACGCGGATTAGGTGTGAGATTAATTACATCAAATCAGTCCCAAAATATAAATAATAAATAGATGAATTCAGCTATAAAATATAGACAAGTTGGATAAAAATATTATTGATCAGAATTTTAACTAATTTTTTGTATTAATAGATGATCAGGTAAATTAATAATAGGCAATAAAAAGGCAACCATTTCTCAGACAAGTACATCGATTCCAGTATTATTCAATGAACATATTAATGCCGTATTATTAGTTTTCATTGTTGTTTTCTATAAGATAAAAAATTGTTGTTATATTTTAATAAACGATTCATATTTTTTTATTATATACAGAAGTCGATATATATATTATTTTTTTGATGCTCCGAGCATAGATGTGATATTTGGTATATGAAAAACAAAGAGTAATTATTCAAGTTATGAATTAATATAGATACATATAAAACATGATTTTAATAAACTGAAAACAAAAAAAAATGATTTTTTTTGTCTATTGTATAAATACTAATAGGTGTATTAGACTATACACTGTTTAACAAAATAGTTAATCTGATATAGTTAATAATCAACACGGAAATACTTTCTTTATATTTATAATATTTATGCATTGACAATCTTAGAATTTTCTACTAGATCAAACACAAATATTCGACATCGTATTCTGAAGAAGTTTTTGTCAAAGATTCGGATTTCTATATAGCAAAAAAACCAATATTACTTAAATACAATCGATAATATGCAAAAATTTAGCTTGATGCTAAAATATGCTTAACTGAAAATTTAATCTCTTAACATTTTTTTTTTTTTGATAAAGTTGTCCTTTGTCGTTATTTGATCTAATAAATAATATTTGAATAGTACTTTATGTTTTAAGTGAGTACATGTTTATTGACACTAAATCACAAGGATTTTAAAGAGTATATAAATACTAAAAAGAATGCAAAAATTTTAATATATTTGTTTGAAGATTTTATTTCGAACATAAATCTTCAACTTTTTCGTCGTTTTTTTTCTTTCCTCTCATTCTGTTAGACAATAAAATGACCACATAGTTTCATATTCTTTCATCTGTCTAATATTAATTTTAAATGTCAAAACTAGTTAATGATCGCCAATTCACAATAACTTTCTATGAAAAAAATATATGCATGGTTTAGAGTATAAAAAAAATCATAAATTACTGAGCTATTTATAACATTTTCATGTACTTTACCAACGTAAGGGTAACAAATTGCATGACTTTCTTTATTTTGATATATTTAAAGTTTATTTAATGTAAGATCAAGTAAAAATTACTGAATCATCAAACTTACTGCATTAATAATTAAAAGAAAATGAAAGAAAAAAAAGGCTAATTATCAAAATGAATAACATTTATAACATAGAAAAGGAAGATTACAAAATCTTCATCAATTTCTTTACTAAGATTCAATCAATAAAATAATTACATCAAGTTCGAGTATATAGACAATTTTTTTCTGCAGGGATGCAGCGAAAAGAAAAAAGTCAAGAAGGGAGATGTAAAGAAGTTTTTTGAGAGTTGAAAAATTGCATATACAATTTTTTTAAACTGCAGGCTGTTAAACTTTCTTTTTTTCTAATGAAAAATACAATTTTGGCTGGAAAAAACTAAAGATTTTCTAAAAGTACGGAGAAGCTGTACACTCCTCTCCTGGAGATGCAACAAGATGCGATCGCAAGTATCACTATGAAGTGACACGTTATAAAATGATGATAAATTTAATTGAAGGCGAATAAAGATTCATCAATGTATTTTATTAAAATGATGAACAAAAAGGTAGGATAATAATTAGCAGAAGACAAGAGAGAACATACAAATAATGGGAATAAATGGAAAATGGTTGAGTGAAGGTAACAATCAAACTGAGATTTAGTAGTGAAAATCAAAATTTGCACGATGAAAAATGAATTATGTTAATCGGAAGAAGAATTGTGTCTTAACGAGACATCGATTAATGACAATCAATAAAGTACATCAAACAAAGCAACTACAAACACGAAAAAAATGTACGTATAACAAAAAGAAAGAGATAATATAGGTGACGAATAGTGTACCGTTAGTCCTCATGGTCACATTTTTGACTTTTTGTTGAGTTCACAATGAATGTTATTCAAATCATCAATATGAAGAAAATAAAAATTATTAAAATATTGATAAAAAATACTTTGTTGATAGTGCAACATCATAAGAACGATAAACTAAATGTGTGTTTATTTGATACAGAGCGTGTCTTGAGTGGCAACCCTGCCAATCTTAAAAAACTAGCGAGTTCCTGTACACATTGCGCGACTGCATTTCTCCATTTAACCTTTAACTCTTAACTTTTAAACTTTGGCCTCGTATCCTTAATTCTGATAATAGACACTCGATAGTATGTATATAGATTTTTGTTCATCTCCAGCGAAGGAACAGCATTTTACTGCTTCTTTTTGTTCATCAGTTCCTAGAAAAACACGCAACCGCGTCCTCGGTACATCTTTGATTTAATATAAAATACTCTAACAAAATATTGTTTTTCTTCCTCATTTGAATTTTTACCTTTCTTTATAGAATTATATGCATTGTTATTTTAATTTGTTCTCTCCTGTTTTTTTTTCTAATAATTCTGAAATAAAATTAACTCAATGTTCAATACACATATTCAAGAAATGAAAGCTTTGCATAAAAGAAGACAAACTAATGGGAGCAAACTAAAAGTTGTGGTGGTGGTGGTATTTTATTATCATATAGAAAGCTTGAAAAAACTTTCGTTTTGTATGTACTGATAGTAAAAACGATGTTCCATACTTCATTCTTCTTCAACTGATTTCTTAGTAATAAAATTTTGATAAGAGCTATTTGTTAGAACGAGAAGATAAAGACACATGATAATCGTATCTTACAGGATTTTTGAGGGTTTAAATCGACCATTTTTGAAAACAAATCTACCTGATGAAGTATTTACAGTAAATTTTCAATGATCAGATGCGTATTCAAGTCATGAATCGAAGATCTACAAAACTGTGCAAAGCTTAGATGTTAAGATTTGATCGTTCAAAAGTCATAGGTGTTCTACTTGTACCTCTAAATCAATTTTTCTAGCAATTCCTGCGAAAAAAAACCCACAAAAACCATCTTTTTCAGCAGTTTTTTGAAGATAATTGATTAAACAAAAATTTGAGAAAACATAGTAGAAAAAATTTATGATATACGATTCGATGTATTTTTATCTTCTCTTTCCAATGATAAAAACGCAGCTTTCTATCAAAACTTATTCGAAAAAAAATATCCGACCGCCATTTGAAACTTGCATTCGAGTTATCATCACATATCATAACAAATAGCTCTTGCCGAAATTTTATTACTCGAATATTATTTCAACCAAGAAAGTTTTGTCAAGCTTTCTATACAATATTTAAAATGTTACCACCATGACTTATGAATCGCCCTCAGTAAAATTGAGAAAAGCATTTGTATGCATGAAATGTCGAAAATTTTGAAAAGATTTCTCTATAAGTTGCTTCCATTGTAAAATTGAAGTTCACTGATTTGATGTTCTTTTCAGTTCATCTTTTGATTAAAATAAAAATCGAGAATAAAGAATGATAAAAATTTCATTATATTTACCTCTAACCTCATTCAATGCAATAGTTTGATCAATAAAATATTTCGATAAAGAGTATTCGAGTTTCGTATGAAAACATGAGTTCGAAAGAACGTTTTTTTTCTAATTACGACAAGACTTTAATTTCATTTCAATTGGTTTCATTCGATGAAACCTTGTAAGTCATGAATAAATTTCAACAATATTTATATAAATGTAAACATCATGTTTTTTGTTTAAAAAAAAGGAATGAAATTGACTTCTTAGTCATTTCTTGGACAAACTTACAGGTGTGATTAGTTTGTTAATATAAATATATAAGTGTTTTATCGTTAAAAAACAAACTATCTAAATATTTTTTTCAAAAACAACTAAATTGATACACAAACAATGAACTATTTTTTCTATGATAAAATTATGATATTAATATCTAAAAAACAAAAAAGAGAAATATTAATTAAAAAAAATATTTTTATTTCATATCTTATCGCCTATGATTCCATACAAATTAATGTTTATTTGACTTTTTTTTTTCATTTTTTCTTTCTCAGCATAAAATATATATATTCAAGTTGAATTGTAGTGTTGTTCTTACATTTGACAAGACGTTCGCTACCATAGAGAGTTCTTTATTCTGTTCTACTTCTTCTCAATTTTTTGTTTATTTAGTGTGTTCGTTCTTGCTGTCGTTAACTCTCACTTCAAATAAGCTGATTGGAATATTCTCTCGGTTTTTTTCTCTCTCTCTCTCCCTCCCTTTTCTTTTTACAACCTCGTTTTGATTTCACTTTTACTTCTTCTAACGGTTTTTATTCTTCTTCTTCTTCTTCTTCTTCTCCTTCTCTTTCACTGGTACATCTTACTTGCGGTTTGAACCTCAATTAAACACTTAGACAAATAGTAGAAAAAGAAGAAGTGAGAAAGACAATATGAATGAGAATGATGATTATACATATGTCCAACGACGTCTTTGTGCTGTTATGGCAAAATCTGAATGGACATCGTCTCGTATGCGTATGCAAAAAAGTGGTGAAGAATTACGTGAACGTCGAGCTAAATCACATCAAACAGCAAATAAATTTTTACAAGAACTCCTTGAACAACGAACTGATAGTGATTTAATTGATGATAATGGTGCTGTTGATCGTTATCATAAATTTGTTAAATATAAATCAGCATTAAATGATGATACAAATAGTACATTAGATGAATTTAATCGACGTTTACGTGCTTTAAATAATAATCGACGAAATCAAACAATAAAATTAAATAATCAAAATTTAAATACAATTCAAGAAAAAAAACAACAATTATTGATAAACGATTTACAATCAACAATTGAAGTTCATAATGATAAGAAAGATATAAATGTACAACAAATACATTATGAAGAATGTGTATGTAAACATAATAAAAAAAAAATTTATTAATAAAATAGCAAATATTTATTACACTAGTATCAATTCCTTCTAATAGTTTAAAATAAATCCTTGGTGATTTAATTTCTAGTGAGATCTAATGAAGGAACCTTTCCAGGTATCAAGTTGCTTTTCAATCGAGGCAATGCCCATTTGATGAATGCGAGTGAATAATAGAAAAGTCTACAATGATTTGATTTTTCGAGCCTTTTGGTTCTTGAGATATTGGAATTTTACTGGGTTTTTCAACAAAAAGCTGTGGTCTTACGTGAAACATTGACTTTGAAGTTCCGACTTCAAACTTTACATTAACAAAGTTCTCTCATGTGTAAAAATAAATTTTGTTCATATTCTTATATCTCCAGAAAAGAAATAGTAGAAAAGCTAAAATTTGTACAATCATCAAATGCCATCAAGAAATTTGTTCTCATACAATTTCCAGTCGAAACTCCAAAGTCAATATTCCACGTAAGACCACAACTTTTTGTAGGAAAAATCAGTAAAATTTCAATATTTGAAGAACAAAGCCCCAAAAAACTAAACCATTCTAGACTTTTCTACTACTCTTTAGGTCTCATCAAATAAATATCGTCTTGATCGAAAAGCAATTTGACATGTTGAGAGGTTTCCTCATAAGATGAAGTGTTCAGATCTAGCTAGAGATGTGCAGGGTAAGCTTTTTTCTTACCCTATACCTTGACTGAGAAAAATTTCCCTAACCTTTACTCTACCCTATCCTGCAGGATAAGGTAACCTCGAATATCTATAGATCTAATTCATTCTTTAAGAACATTTTAACTAAAAGGCATCACAATGTTGAATAGTATTTATTTTTAAAGAAGTATTTATTTAGGGAGTACCAAAAGTAGTGGCGCCGAAAGTATAAAATCTTATAGAGGGCTCGAGGAAATTTTTTTTCTATATATACTGATAGCTCAAATCGAGCTCTATAATTCTACAATATTTCATCATCTTTCAGGTGATATCATAACATTGAGAGCATACTAAAAGTATTGACGATGACACTTTAATAACGTATAGTAAACTTTAAGAAACTTTCTTTTTATATGCAGGGACAGTAAAAAAAAATGCTCTATTTTTCTGTAATATTTCATCACACTTCAACTGATATCATGATAATAAAATTTCGACAAAGAGCTGTTTATTATGATATGCGACAGTAACATGAATGCTCATGTTTAAAAAACCGGCGAGTGAGCATGTTTTTTTTAACAACTTTTGACAGAAATAGAATAGAGAACTGCGATTTTCATCGTTGAAAGAGACGATGAAAATGCATCGGATCGTATATTTTAGCCTTTTCTCGTATAATCTCTGCATGGCGGAAAAATGCGCTTTTTTGTTATAAAAATGAAAAAGCAAAAAAGTGATTTTTCTACAGTATTTGCTAGAAAATCGACTTAGAATGTCGAGTAGAATACGTATAACTGCTGAACGATAAAGTATGAACCACTAATATGTTCACAGTTTGGTAGATCTTCAATTAGCAGTTCACATACACACCTGATAATCGAAAATTCACTGTGAATAACCTATGAAGGTACGCTTATTTTCAAAAAAGCCGGTTAGAAAGCCATGTAATATACGATGCAGTGTGTCTTTATCTCCTGTTTCCAACGATGAAAATCACAGTTCTCTATCTTGTTTCTGTCAAAAGTTATTCAAAAAAATATTCACACATCTTTTTTTTTAGACATGAATATTCATGTTATCGTCAGATACCATAACAAACAGTTTTTGGTCGAAATTTTATTATAATGATATCAGTAGAATAGAGCTCGATTTGGGCTATCAGTATATATAGAAAGAAAATTTTCTCGAGCCTTCTATAAGATTTTATGTCGTTGGCATTACTGCTTGTAATCATACATAGAAAAATTAAAACATTCTATCACAATTTCTTAGATTTATAATTATTTGTTCAAAAAAAAATGACTGTTGACTTTTTTGACATAAGTATAACTTTTTTGTCTGGAATTGCATCTTTATTTTATATCAAAACATTTGAAGAAATTCTTCATTTCATAGACAAAAAAAAATTATTTATCAATCTAAGAAACTTTGATAGAATGTTTTGATTTTTATATAGATGATTATAACAGACGTCCAGCTGTCGAATGCTATAAATACAATTGATTTAAGTGGAACTCCCTTTCTAGACATGAAAATCGACATTTTTTTAATTTTTAGTTTTTCATTGCTAGTACAGTCCCGAAGCTCCATTTGTCCAATGCCATATAAATGAGTAGTCTTCTCGGTTATTTAGTACTTTCATTAAATCTAACTCTCGAAACCTCTAGCAGCAAACCTCGCTCTACAATTATTCTTTTCTATGTAAAACTCTTCCAATTGGAAATGATTATTCCTAATTCAAAGATACTTAGAGTAGAGGTCCTGGATTTGTCACACCGCTAATTTTCGATCACTTAAGTCGGAGAAAACAGTTCTGATACTTATAAAAAATTTGTTTTTTGTTTTCCTCAAGATTAATTTTCGAACAAAAATTTTTTGTCCCTATGAAATTCAGTAGCCTTTAAAAAATTAGTACTATTTAAAAAACACGTTTTTTGACGGTAGAACACGCACCGCAATTTTATCCTAATTGCCATAAAAACAATTACAACTCGAAAAAATGAAGTATGGAGTGTTGCAGGGGAAGGGGACTTCTGACCATGTTTGGCCTTTACAATCCCCCCATATCTTTCTGAAGAAAGCATCTAGGAATTTTGAGTCTATGACAACTTTTGTTCTACTTATCGATATCTATCTGCTTTGAAAGTTCCGTAATTTTTCATCGAGCCGTTCCCGAGAAACTCCGGAAAAAGGACGGAATCTTCTTAAGATTCGTTCTCTAGCTTAAAATTTCTTTCGCATGATACAGGTCATATATGTCATAATAATCTTGAAAACTAGTGTTTATAAAATAATTGAAAAAAAATATAAAATGATGACTTTCAAAGTTCATGTTTTATTTCGATTTGAAACCAATAATAAACTATCTTTTTTTTTTCTCTTTCAATCACACATCTTTTTTCAATAATATTACACATAAAAGAACGATTAAAATCAAGAAAATAATATACTAAAAATCTCACAATTAGATTTAATTGAAAATATTCTCAAGATCATTTTAATCGATTCTCCTTTCACTTTCAATTAAAACTAATTATAACTATTTTCTTCGAAATACAAGAAATTGAATGTATTTAAATAGCTTCATTAAGATTTTCATCGTTTCTCTTACGTTCTGTTTAATATCGATAAAAATTTCTCTTATGCTTTTTTTTATAGTCAAAGCCATCTAGAATATTACCAACAATACCTATAACATCAACTCCAAATGATACACCAAATGAATCAACTACTCCTATCTTTTATAACGATGAAATTCAAGAATTATCTAATGCTCAATCAACACACATATCATTTATTGATAGTCTAGAAAATCATATTGATTCATCTACGCATGAACATAATGCATCATTAGTAGAAAAAGCTGATACAATCAATTCTTCAACATCATCATTAAATGATTCAATAACACAAACTGTAGTTGCACCAAAAGCACGGCGACCAGATGGTACTGAAATGATTCTTTCATCATCAAAAAGTCCAATATCATGTATGTCATCTAATATATCATTACTTAACCATGTTCATTTTCCACGTTCATTAACATTACGTGGAAAAATTCATATAAGTTCAGCATCAAAACGACAATTACCAACTCTTCCATGTTTACAATCAAATGAAAAACAACAAAATCAATATGAACAATTTGATATAAAACAATTATATGATTTACTTGATCATTTAGATAATGATTCTAAACAATATTCAAATACAGATTTTACTAATATGCTTGATCAATTAACATTATCAACTATTATTTATAATAATCAAGATGAAATAAATACTAATTTTTCAATAGAAAATCTATCATTAATTAATAATAATAATAATAATAATGAAGAAAATATTCTTCCAAATTTATTCGATCAATCATTACCACCAAAACAAGAAAAACTTTTTTATACAACATTAACTATTAATATGAATGATTTAAAAAATATTTTTCTATATACAATGACAATAAGTACAGTACAAATAAGTGCATCAATATTAGTTCCATATTCAATACTTAATGGTCGACGACCTTTTTTACAATGTTCAAAGCAAACACATTTTAAACAAATTCATTCGAAACAACAAAAATATACATGTCAAGTAACAGCTATTGAATCATCATTAAATATAAAACAACTTCAACAAAATGATATTATATTAAAAGTAAAAAAAATTATTCATAAATATTTCAAAAAAAATATATATAGACGTATAGAGTGTTTGAAAACTGGGGTGGATCTAGGATTTGGGAGAAAGAGGGAGGAGGTGATCATGATTACAAAACGTGTTTTGAGGTCTATTAGAGATCGTCTGTTGAGAAAAATTTTTAAAAAAATATTTCAGAAGAGATGGACCGAAGTTCTCAGTAGCCTACTCTTGCATCCACCATTGACCGGAAGGTCATCTACTAAAAAGAAAAGTATACATTTTCACTGCGGTTAAATCAAATCAAGTAGTTAATTTTTGTGGTAATAGAGAAGACTTGTAAGTCTTTATTCATAAAGTTAAAGTTTATATGAAACACGATGTAGCTATTGTTGCTGATCCCAGGGAGACTGTTTTATTCTGTCTATTCTAGGACATATTTCTTCACCATTCTTTTGTTTCATCCTCGAGAAATGCAATAAGGAAGTAGTTTATATATATATATATAAACAAGATGTTATTGATATACGACTTGTGATTGTATGCCGACAATGTCTATCACAGTCTGTAATGAAGGAGAGATGTTCCCAAGAATGTCTGTGAGGAGGGAGAAGTAGGTTCAGATTTCTATTTCTATACTTCAACATTTCTTTTAGACCGTGATTCGCAATATCTCTTTTTTTTTGAGTTTCGAAAAAAACAAAAGACAGAACTTTTTGCTGAACTACTTCAATTTATTTCGTTATTCGAAAAAAGCTACTTAACTAGAGTGTAGATGTATATTTTAGTAGATGACTTGTCGGACATTCTGTAAATAAATTGTTTTTGTTATTTAGATTAACGATCAATCTGTATGGGGTTTAACTACGAATGGAATTATTGATATTTTAAAACAATACGGCAAACAATCTAATAATTGTTCTTTAACAATAGCTCGACTATGTCAGCCATTTTTTTAAATTTTATTATACAAAAAAAAAAAAATAATTAGAATAAAAAATATATGAATAAAAACAAAGTTACTTATGACCGATCGAACACAACTGTTTGTTTTAATAAAAGATGACCGATAGAAGTATAAGTACAATCGAATAAAAAGAACATTGCCAACTGTTGCTTATTGTAAAAAGTTACATCATATTCAATGTGTTACATAATTTTGTTTTGTATGGAACCATATTCTATGAACGTTGCATAAAATTTAATCGTAATTGTTAATTCAGATTAAAAAAAAGAAGACATAATATTTGAGAAATGTTTGGTATTGAAATTGTTTCTCTATAATAAATCATACAATCAAAACCTATTAAAATTAATGTTTATAAAATTTAATTTTCTGGTATCATATCGAGAGATGATATTCAAGTAGTTAGTCTAGTATAGATTTATATTATTGAGCTATTTGTTTTCATTATTGTAAATTCATGCAAAGGTAAAATGAATTGAAATTTTGAAATACTATTTCTTTTTGTTTGTCTCTTCCTAGTCCCTCGAAGATCTTCAATTGGTAATCATTTTTCTTAGTTTAAATAATAATAAACGTTAATAATATTCGCGTTGGATAATCTAATAAAACCATTATTTGTTTAATGTCATAGAAAGTTTGATACTATTTATTTACAAAAAAAAAATGATTAAAAAACAACCAATAATAACTAATGAAATTAAATATTGCCAAGTTCAACTGTAGATATAGTGTTTGGTTAAATATGTCATTATTATCGTATATATTTAACACTAATTTATTCGAATTAAGGTCGCATGTTTTCTATCAATGATACTAATATGTTTTATTTGTGATCATTTACAGAATAATTAATTTGAATACAAATATTTTTTTTTACTGATAATATCAATAAGATAGTTCTAATTATAAATTTGAATAATAGGTCTTTCATTAGGTGAACATGATAAACTATATCATCATAATACTAACATATAACAATTCAGTAGTTTAAATATAAAATGCAAGGTGGTGGATAAAAGTTTAATAACAACGTATTTTTTATTTTATTTTTCTATAATGTTAAACGATGAGTTCAAATCCAGATAGTGATTTTAATAGCCAATGGAGTTTTCTATCTAATGTATCTTATATAAAGATTTCATAGATAAACCATGATGGTAATGTTTCTAAAAAAGCTTTCAGGTCCCAGAAAACTTTATCTGATCTCTTTATCATCAATACTGTTTTAAAGAGCAGAAAATCCTGAAGAAAGTGAGGAGTTACTGCATTTTTTACACGGTCTCCGTAAAAAGTTAAAAGTACTACAAAAACAGAAACAAAAGAAATTTATCAAAAACAAGCGCCTTTTCCCGATTTTTGCGATACCGTTAATTTTTTAAAGAAAGGTCATAGAAAATCCGGCGACTCATCATTGTGTTTAGAATTTTGTGCTCTCTAAAATAGCTCCGGCAGAGTCTTCTGAGACTTGAAAACTACTGTATTTGATTTTTTGAAATCTTGGCATAGAATACATTAGATAGAAAAATCCATTGACTATAGAAATCACTATCTGGATTTGAGCTCATTGTTTAATATTATAGAAAAAAAAAAATGCTGTTGTTAAACATTTTTCCATCATTTTATATCATCAAAAATTTTATTTCTTTATTTTAATATGATAAATTCTATAAAATTCAATAGAAATCATAATGATAATATGTACATATTTAAGTAAAATAGAACCATAGAAAAATTCTTTATGAAATATTTGATATTGTAATCAGATATTGGTTATATCTGTAGTAAATAATAATATAATGAAGACATTGATAAAACTAAAATAAGTAATAGAATGAATACGTCAATGCGTAAAATAAACTAATAAATTAAAATTATCTTTTTATTAATCTTAATCTATCATCAATAGGTGATTCATAAAAGTCTAGTATGACGTTAGAAAAAGTAGAAATTAAATCATTTATTAATAAAAGAAAAGGAACGTATGGATAACTTCTGACCGCGATTCCATCGTGGTATACCGATGGTAGTGCAAACAAACCTCCAATATGAAAAGTTTTCACATTGAGCAGTCAAGAAAAAAAGAATGTTCAATTATGATAAACTCATATTGGTCATTTATTATATAAAAGAATGGTTTCGTCTAAGACCTGCACTTTATCATTAATTACAAAGTAAAATGTACTTTAAATATATACAGGAGTCTCAAGAAGTCTTGCTACTAGAGAAAAAATATATACACTTCAATCCTTTTGCCTGATATCTTCACTACAAATAGAGTTCGATGAACTCTGATCGCAAGCAGCACCCCAAGGTCGATAGGTCTTAATGCAAAGGATTTACGATGAAAGCACTGGTTTTTTCTCTAGGATTCAAAAAAAGGCTTTTTTGCCACTTTTCTGGCTTTCCACTATTTAGATGAGTTCACCTCTATTTTCTTATTTACAAATAAAGATTCGCATGTCTATATTATATTACAGATAGGATATTTCAATCCGTTGTAATTTTAAGGCACGAGGAAGTCTTCATTGTCTGGAATGATCTCAGCATGCATTTCTTCTCCATTGGTGACTGCAATTGTAAAATTTTCAAGGTAAATGGTTAAAATTATTCGGAGATATCGATCAATTTTCGATAATTCGCATCAACTCTCATGTGAAGATTACCCAAAGAATACTATATAAATGAAGTAAACTAAAACCGTTTGATATGCAATTTTTATTAGTCATAGATATAGCACTGAGCTATCGAATGAGACGTCTAACGTCATGAGATTTGTTTTCTATGTTGAGATATCCTCGTCTGAAGAAAAAATCTATATTGACTTTCTAGCTTCTCTGCATGAAGTTCGATCGAGTCTTGGATAATCCTTGCGGTCAGAGTTCAACATACTCTACTTCTAGTCAAACTTTGATAGTAAAGGATTAAGCTTTAGATACTTTTTATCTTTTTCATAGTACCCTTTTTAAAAATTTACGAATTTGAATGTATCAAAAACAAATTCTCGAAGATCAATTTCTCAAAATCTACCTATTATGTTATTTATTTATTTAAAAAGATAGAAGAACAAATTATATAATTAAATATCACTTTTTCTCTTTTTTTATTTTTGTAAAAGATAAATTTCTTATTTTAGAGTTTCGACATTGTATTTTGTTTAATTGATGTCCAAACTGGATGAACCTATACCAAACCAAAAAAAAAAGTTCATTCTCATTTTCATTGATCTATATCTATTACTTTATATCGATTGGATGGATTAAGTCGAGCTCGTTCCATTAATGCTTCATAAACTTGACCATCATAACGACCGAGACATGAATCTATTTGTTTTTGTTATAAATAAATTTTAATTATAGAAAATAAAATATTTCAAATATTTACTAAGTTCATTATCATGAAAATCAAAAGTATCAACAAGTGCAACAAGATTTGGTCGAAGTCGAGTATACAAATCTGGTAAAGTATAAGTTTCTAATTGATAAATTTGTTCAGCTGTAAGTAATTTTAACTGAAATATAATTTTAAGAGAAAAACAAAAACAAAAAGAAATTTTATTATTTATTAATTTTTCTATTTGATTTATTTACTCGAATAAAATCAGTTGCTTGATTTCGTAATGTATGAATAGCAAATACATGAAAAAGTTGTTCAAAAACTAATGCAAATGATTGATGTTCAGCTGCTTTACGTACACCATCATAGAATGCTCGTAAAATAAATGTTTCAACATAAGCCTAAATATTTTAAATAGAAAATAAAAAAAATCAATATTCATTATAATTTAATATCTTATGACAACATACTTTAGCAATATGTACGAGTTCAATAGAATTTTTAGAAAATTTATCATAAGATGTTGATGATGATGATTCAATTAATTGATTAGAAATTGATTTTAAAAGTCTAAATATTTTTTTTTTGAAATAGAAAAAAAACTCTACTATTCATATACTAATAACTAACAATTGTGATCGACATTCAAATAAACGACAATAATCATCAAGATTAACAATAGTTGCTGGAGCTGATATTGTTGAAAATAAATAAGTAATCGATGATTCCATATTTACATCATTATCATCATCAGCTTGTTGCATAACTTTTAGAAGATACCTATTGTTCGAAATAATATTTTGAAATGTTTCTTTTTTTTTATGTATAAATTTTTCTATCTTATCTACCTCGCTGTTTGTTGAAATAAAACAACACTATCACCTTCATAACTACATGCAGCATCAAGCATATTATTAATAGTTTTTATTCCACTAGCTACTAAAAATCCATGACCACCACAAGCAACACGACATATTTGAGAAAATCGTTCAGCTATTGTTGATGTATATGCTTTTAAACCAGATGATATAGCATGAAGCTTAAGAAAAAAAACCCATCAAACAAATACATTTTATAAATAAGAAAAAAAAAAATAAAAAAATGACGATTATTACTTCTGGTAATTGTTCGAATAAAATTATATCACTTTCTAAAATTTGTACACGAAGATTTTCAAGTTTCATAAATGAGTAAAAGAATGCATAAGTTGTAGCTATACATGGTACTAATTTTTCTTGTTGTAATGGATAATCAAGAACAAGTGTTTCTTTGCTTTATAGAAAACAAAAAAAAACGTTTCAATAAGATTTTGAGAAGAAAAAAAAAACCAATTTCAACATTACCCGCTTGGATTTAATCCTTGACGTCGAACAGCTGAATATCGTATAGCAATTGTAGCAGCACGAGCAAGTAATATTGAAAAGAAAGCACAAAGACTAACACGTGTTGCAAGCATTGCTCCATAAAGTAGACGAGGATCACCAAGACGATGAAAATTACCTTGTTCATCAACCTAGATAGATTATAAAAAAAAAATTAATTTTATTTTGTTTATATTCTAAAATACATACGTAAGCTAATTTCATAAGCATATGATTTCGTGGAATTCGTACATTAGTTAATCG